AGCTCACCTAAATGAGTTTATCAGATTATAATAAGCTGGGCTCCAGATTATAATAAGCTACTTCAATAAGTTGTCTGTTTCTTTCAGCTTACTCCCAATAATCTGGATTATAATAATCCTAAGCTGAAAGAAACAGGGCCTTAGTGGCAAATACCACAGCACACCAGCAATAATTTAGAACCACATGCTCATTAGAAAATAAATTTGGCTACATATAATCTCATTAAGTGTTAAATAGTTTGAATAAAATGGTCAAAATCAAGAAAATTGTGCCCAATAAATCTATAGAAAGTGGAAATATATCATTGCAGGCTGAACATTTGGAACAACCTCTGATGATATGAGCTTGCCTCTCTAATGTCCACCCCTAGTAGCAGCATGCACTTCGGAGAGCTCTACAATCCAAATACTAGTCTCATTTGTCATTTTGTTGTAGACAACAAGCCTGGCCCTCCTAGCTGGCAGCCTGGTTGGAATGATAGGAGTATTTTTGGTTCTGGGAAGCAGTGAAGGTTGGAATGGTGGGAAAAAGTATGCATCAGCTAATGCCACGACAGTTTTTTCTGGTTCCAGAAGCACAACTTCGACAAAACGCATGCTGTCTCGAACCTATAATTTCGGGAGTGACTTAATTATATATTTGGAACATGAGTACATAATTTTGTATGAAAGGTAGTAGATGGACAGAGACCTCAGGAGTTCTTCCAGAAGCTCTGACAGTTGCTACAGCCACAGAAATTTCAGCAGCAGATAGTGGGTCTAAGGGGTGGCTTTTCTGTGTCCTCGTCATGATCCGGATTCCTGAAATGTTTCTCCCGCATAACGTCAAGTCATTGTGATATAGCATAGCTATGTACTGATGCTTAAATTGAACAGAAAATATTAAACTATCCAAATACACAAATTGTGGCAGGCAAAGGGAATATCATAGAAAACATTTGACTCTTTTTTTTTCTTTTGCAATTTAATTACAGAGTAAGGGACACAAAGTTTGTATCTGTAAAAGATAGCTACACACTTACGCAGATATTTCTCAATTATGCATGTGCCCACCAGATAAATTGCATATGGAACCATTAAAAGGCCCTTTTGATTATATTGATCAAGCATTTCCATTCTAAATGGCAGAATGGCATCGTTCTGTTAGCTAACACAAGATAATATTTCAGACCTTTTATTTGGTGGGGGAGCATCGATTCACTCGTTCGACAAACACAACGCTAAGATCAAACACAAAATTCCTAACACAATGACACTCTGGCTCGTAGAAACTTTCCAAAAAAAAAAAGCACACAACCAAAACACCTTAGGCAAACATTTTCCCTACGCTCCAATCTGATCTCTCATCGTGGTCACTCACACCTGAAGCAGTTCATAAACGGAACGCCACCGACCAGGCGCTAACATTTTCCGCAGACAAGCCCAATCCAGCAAAGGGGGGCACCCGAAGAGAGAGGGAGTTCAAGGAGAGTGAGTACCTTTAGACGAGGCGATGGCGGTGGCGGGCGGCGGCACCACAGTTTCGGCCTCCTCGATCACGCCGGCGGCGGCGGCGATCGCGGCGCCGCCGCAGCACCCCTCCGCGGCGCCCATCGGAGAGGGTCCGAACCGCGCGCGCGCGAGGCGAGGCGAGAGGCGAGCGGAGAGGAGGAGGGGTTTGGGGGGTTTTTGTTTTGTTTGGTTGGTATTTCGCTCAGTCTCTTATTTTATTACTCCTTCCGTTTTAAAATATAATTATTTTTAGTTTTCGATATGGTTTTCGAAATATTAATTTGATCTATAATATCTATAAAAGTAAAATATTTTAAATAAAAATAGTTATAGTTCGTTTAATGATAAAGATAGTAATATCAAATTTACATGATTAATTTTTTTTAAGTTTTTGTTGCTAATAGTTAAATTTAAAAAGTTTGACTTGGCGCTATACTAAAAATGCTTATATTTTGGAACGGATGGAGTATTAGACAATGGTGGCTGACTGAGTGTTAAATTAACGAAAAAAATTGGTTGACTGGACTATTCGTCATGTAATTAACATGATCACTTCATGTGTGGCTACTGTTCACTCCTCCGGTACGATATCCGCGTCATATAGGCCGAGTTTAGTTTCAAACTTTTTCTTCAAACTTTCAATTTTTTCATCACATCAAAACTTTCCTACACACACAAACTTTCAACTTTTCCATCACATCGTTTCAATTTCAATCAAACTTTTAATTTTGACGTGAACTAAACACACCCGGGGTTAACATGTGAATTGAATTAGGGTCTCATGTTTTCTAGAAGAATGTTCTACACCTTCTATTCATGTATGATTGACCTATTTGAGTCTAACGCAGTGACCAAGAAAAACGCAACTCAATACACGGGACATTGGTGCATAGGGGAATCCACAAGTAGTTGCATTTGTACGGGAGACGTGGCTGCATATGATTGGAATGGGTGAACATTCGATTCACAAGACCTACTGCGTGCATGCATGACTAAAACAAAGCAACGACAGCATCCAAACCCAAGAATGTGTGGCAAAAGAAAAAGATGATGATCAAAATAGAAAACTTTTTCAGAGCTAATATGTCTATTAAACACAAATGAAGAGAATATTAGATAGCAAAACTTTATCAAATAGTTACTAGATTATTAAACTTTTCCATTCCTATTAAAGTCTATTCAAAATGAATAAAAATTCTGCTCATAAGCTTTTCTACATGAATAAAAAATATATTTACAAACTTTCTACAGGAGAAAAATCTTTATACACAAACTTTCTACAATAGTTAAAGATAGTTTACCTAGCAAATCTATTTTATAATTAAAGGAATAGAAAAAGGAAATAACTGAAATTCGGAATTAAAAATAAGGAATATTAGAAGAGGAGTATAGAGTCCATATAGAAATACAATTAGGAAATAACTGAAATTCGGAATTAAAAATAAGGAATATTAGAAGTAGAGTATAGAGTCTATATAGAAACACAATTAAGAAAAAAATATAAATTCAGAACTAAAAAATAAGGAATATTAGAAGTAGAGTATAGAGTCCATATAGGAATTTAAAACTTACTAAAATTTAGAATAAATATAATAAAATTAAAAGTAGTGTTTAGAGTCCGTATAAAAATACAATTTACAAATAACTAAAATTCAAAATTAAGAAAAACATGGGAATAAGAGTTTAAGGTCAATATAGGAATATAAATATAGGAATACAATTTAGAAGTAATTGAAATTCGAAATTAAAAATTAAAGAATATAGAAAGATGAGTTTAGAGTCCACATAGAAATACAATTAGAAATAATAAAAATTCAGAAATAAAAATAAATAATATTGGAAGAAGAGCATAGAGTCTATATAAAAATACAATCTATAGAAAATTCGGAATTTTAAAAAAAGAAATATTAAAAGACGAGTCTAGAGTCCATATAGGAATATACATAATTTACAAATAACTAAAATTTGATATTAAAAATAATTAATAACTAACACGTATATAAAATATAATTTGAAAATTCAGAAATAAAAATAAATAATATTGGAAGAAGAGTATAAAGTCTATATAGAAATACAATTTACAGAAAAATCGGAAGTAAAAAAAAAGAAATATTAAAAGACGAGTCTAGAGTCCATATAGGAATATATATAATTTATAAATAACTAAAATTTGATATTAAAAAGTAATTAATAACTAACACGTATATAAAGTATAATATGAATATTACACATTAGTAGTTTTTTAAAGTTATTGCAAAATTTAAAATTATGTTGTCATTTTAATATATTTGAACAATATAATGAGAAAACATATATGCTATTATATGAGAGAAAATATAATGATGCTAGCCGCGCAATCTGCGCGGGCCACCATACTAGTTTCTATGAAAGTAAACGACTTTTCACCATATAAAATCTAAATTGTATAACTTTATGTTAATAAACTTTCATCACGAATAAAAACTTTATATTCAAAAACTTTGTACAAGAATAAAATGATACTTGAATTTTCAAAAATATCTTAAAACTAATTCTTGAATTAAATAATAAAAAAGTATATGTATTCTTGTCTTAAGGTGATCCAAACTAGTAATTGAGCCAACTCAGCCAAACAAGCTACGACACATAAACGTGTAGGCTCTCAACTCCTGACAAGATATGTTGCACGTAAAATGTTAGGATAGTCGGAAAAGCAAATACGGTTGTAACGAAAAGAGAAAGGATGTCATATACGCGCGGTAAGCTTGTGTGCGTTTGTTCGCATAACAATCTTCTCAGTCTTAGCTAGCTAGTTTGAGGTAAAATTGACGGTTTCCATGTAAATCTACGGTACAATGTTGCCCTGCTTTTGTCATCATGGTTGCTGTAACACGTAATGAGTCACAGAATTTCTAACCTAATACTCCCTTCGTTCCAAAATATAAGAACCTAGAGTAGTCTTCATTCTGAGTTTCATTCTGAGTTGTATTCATTCGAAGTAGTCTTCTACCCTACTGTAAAAGCATACCCCCTCGCATAGACCGCGACACAGTTGCCAATCCACATGTTTAATTACTATAATTACTAATATAAAACCTAAATGAAATGTATAATACATATTTGAGTAAATTTCATAAAACCTCACATATTATGGTTCAAGCTACACAAACCACATGGATTTTGATATGTGACATATAACCCCAGATATTATGATCCTAAAGTTTTACAAAACCATACTATTGATCATTGATCATTTTGATTTTGATCTACTATACTTTTGAGTTCTACAATCACATCTCAAATTTATAAATATTTTATCCATCATATAAATATTACTTTTTTTGAAATTTTCAAATAGGAATATATCAAAATAGTTAACGATGTAGTTTTGTGAAGCTTTAGTACAAAATACCTGGGTTTATATGCCACATGTCAAAATCCCTGTGATTTTGTGTAACTTGGACCATAATAATAGGTGGAATTTATGAAATTTACTCTACATATTTTGAACTATTTTAAGACAACTCTAACCATATCACTTTCAAATATTCAGTTGAAATATTCAAAGAGAACTTAAGTGTCAAAGTTTAATAACGTTAATTACACACATTTCGAAACACCACTTTCTGACCAGAGGAAATAGTTATTTAGAGAAGGCTTTGTTACTTTCTAAGGCAAATTACATGACGTCTAGTTAAGTATACATGATGTACAAAGATTACACATACAACGGCCGTTTAAACATTGGTGAAATCGCTTGATTGGATGAGCCACACAAACAATTCACAATGTCCGGGTACTTTGCTTTTCCAAATCAGCCGGCCATAGGAAGGATCAATGTCTGCAAAGGAAAGGACAATTGAGTGATTTGAGTCCGAGTGTAGGACTTGGAATGGTCGGCTACACAAGGCCCAGGTGATAGAGTTGCGAGCACAGGCTGATCCCAAGGGCCTCAGGCCCATGAAATGACCACCACAGTCCACATACAGCGAATACTGATCTGTTTTCAAAACGCTTTCATTGGCTATTTGCGTTACCTTCCAAAACAAGGAGTACCTATGCATCTTTCGAAAGATTTCTATGATCATATCATATAAATTTTTAATCTTTGGATTAAAATCCAATAGACATAGTAAAAGGCAAAAAGCAACTAAGAAACACCATAATAGATACTAAATTACCATATCTTTAAGAAAAAGACCAAATCCAATATAAATTTCAAAACTTACATGCGAAGATTCAAAAATTACACTGTAAGTTTCATAAATTACACTATAATTTACAAGAAAATACACTGTAAATTTGAGTGAGAAAATCGAGTGAGAGATAAAGAAAAAATCTTTCAAGTGAGATATAGCAAAATCGCAGAACAATTCGAGTCCAAGATTATTATTCATTAAATGGACTTCACTGAGTCATTTCTTGTGAAGGGATTTCACTATGTTATTTTGATCATAAATCTAGAGTTACCACTTTTACTCCCCATAATTTGATTAGACTTTCAAGGAAATATTGTACGTCAAAATTTGATATCTCAAAATCAAACCGATAAATAAACATGGTTTGCTTAAAATATAACACCACATTTTTCACGTAATTTCAATCATTTTTTTCCTATGTTATTGCGCTCTCTCCCCTATATATATAAGTATGCTTCTATCTCTCCTGTTTGCGGCCGTCGAACTTGCAAATGGCTCAGTGGTGCCCTGCAATTTGGTCGAGTTACAAATCTCCATTTGGAGCTACAAGTATACTACTACTCAGTATCTTTGTTTTTAAGTTATCGTACAAATTCAGAAGCAACACCAAACTGAAATCACAGGAAGATTCTTATACCTAACTACAGATTCGAAAGTGAAGTCGGCAAAAGGAGAATCAGCCATAAGAAATCTTGAAACTGTGCACGCTTTAAAGACACAATACTTCATCCACAACACACGACTTGCAGGGAAAAAAAAAATGTCGACCTGAGCCCTGGCCAACTCGATGAGCAGAAAATGTGTCTAGTGCGGTGTCTGCTAAATGATAAATTGTGGCCAATCTCTAGTGATCGTAGAAGACAAGATCAAGTATTCCATACCTGATAAATTGTGGCCAATCTCTAGTGATCGTAGAAGACAAGATCAAGTATTCCATACCTGATACAGGGACAAAGACGCTGATTATTCTTCTCTTCAGCATCCGGCCTGGAGCACACAAGTTGATTTTCTGTTCTGTGGTCCTTGGCCAGCAGCGCTCCAATCGCTACTGCCAAACGGGAACCACCGGTCCATCTCACCAACAAAAAGAAACACGAAGCAAACGCATAAGCATGCTTACAATCTTATTCTTGGACCACAGCTGCGTTCACTTGTTAAACATTTATTAGTCGAACAAGAGGAAATATGCATACCCTGATACCCATGAGAAGCCAGACCAGTGTTGACTTCCTCTGCAATTAAATAGATTTCTGAGCATGGAAAATCTTGATTACTAACACCGACTGTATATCTGAAGAGTCACCGTTTGTGTGTCATAAGAACAGTACGTTTTTCTGTCATAAGAACAGTACATATAACATGAGAACTTCACATGTAACTGTATTAGTTTCATTTATCTGCACAGTAGATGGCATCAGCTTTAGAACCACAGACGCAAGTATCTTCAGAAGCCTTCCATATTAAACTGATGCAAGATGTTAATGTCATGCTAAATATTGCACTGGAGAATCAAAACAACAGAAACAGACAACAGTTAGATCTTTAAAAAAGACGATGGAGGGAAGGGTGGCCCTGATGGTAACGCAGACTGAAAACAGTCAAGTGGTCAGCTGCAACCCCAGGTTATGGATTAGGCTGGAATCTTGCTCGTATCCCCTTCCACCACTCATTCCAAGCCACCACTCGTTCATCTCAGCCCGAGCTGGGCCACCACAGAAAGCAAGCCCTTTCCTCCATCCACAAAACAATGCTCACTTCATTCCACAAACACCTATGGCCACCGCTTCTCATTCACCTTCCTCCTCTCCTCCCCCTTAATCTCATCTTTTTCTTCTCGGTGCTTCTCTGCTCAAACCTGTACTTTGCTTCTGCCACTCCATGTCTCAATCTTCCCCTTTCTTCTCCGTTGCCCGAGCACATGCTGGAGCAGGAGGGCGAGCTGCGGCTGCCGCTCTCCTGCTCCGTCACCCTGTTGCTCAGCTGCCACCTCGGATTCATGGCCTGAGGTACTACCCTTCAGCCATTGTGTCACCTGCCAAGACACTGAACTCACACCTGAGCCTTCCCCATGCCACAATATCCTCCTTTGCCAATGCTGATAATGGCTCCAGCGGGCAAGCAGATGCCACAGAGTCTGAGGAGGAGCAGAACGGGGAATCTGAACTGTCGGAGATGGCCAAGGCATTCCATATATCGCCCCGGATGGCAATGTCAATCTCAGTGGTGATTGCATTTGCAGCGCTCACTGTGCCACTGGCGATGCAGTCAGTGGTCTTCCATGGGACGAACAAAATGAAGGCACTGGCATATCTGACACTGCTTTCAGGGTTCTACATGGCATGGAACATTGGGGCAAATGATGTGGCCAATGCCATGGGGACGTCAGTAGGGTCTGGTGCTTTGACACTCCGGCAAGCAGTGCTTACTGCGGCGGTGCTAGAGTTCTCTGGTGCATTCCTTATGGGCACCCATGTCACCAGCACCATGCAGAAGGGCATCCTAGTCGCATCTGTCTTCCAAGGAAAGGACTCTCTGCTCTTCGCTGGATTGTTGTCATCCCTCGCTGCTGCTGGAACATGGTTGCAGGTAATATTCCAATTAGATCACCTTATCAGTTACCGCCCTTTTGAGCTTTGCTGGAATGGTGACGATCAGAGGATGCAATCATGTAGTGCCATTAGCAGTACATAATTACTGAGACTTCTGCAAGTTTCAGTATATGAAACAAAATATTTAAGACATTCCATCAGCGACACATTCATGATGCAAGAATAGCATGATCTACCTAGCAAGGCAAAATCAATAGACCTTTGCACTTGAAGATGCTAGGTTAAGCCCCAGAAATAAATGATAGCAGTAAGTTGTAGCAGCTTTATTATATTCAGTGAAACCTACTGCATGAGAACCTTCTATGAGTTGATTGTACTATATTACACAATTTCCTTTGAGGTATAAACTCCACAATACGGTAAACAACTTCCATGGTAGGAAGTGAAAACTGAAAAGGGAAAGGAACTTAACAGCATAGCTTTAAACTTGTTGAAGTCTTTTAACGTAAGGATTTTAATCCAATTATATGCAGTTTCAGGATGTTGTGTAACATCCATCCGTGAATGTTGTGCAGCTCACTTGCAATTACCAGAGTTTGATGTCTATCTTATCAACAATCCCAACTAGCAGAAGTACAGAAGCAACAAAATGAGACAATTAAAGACAATGCTCACTAGAAATATAGCAACTTTTACAAGGGATAGACTAATGGAATCTTGAATCATTAGACAACTAGGCATGCACAATTTTGATGAAGACATTTTTGGTGGGACTCTAATTGCGGGAGAATGTTTCATCTGCTTAATCATTGGAATTAAGATATTTTCATGATTGCGGGAAAATTTAAATGCATACATCATGCCTCAAAGAAATATTTAACATAAAATTAAATGCCTCTGCCAAAGATCCAATTGTGTGCTCCCTTTTACGGTTATCTGAGCATAGCATATTAACATTTCTCAGAGTCAATATGAATTAACGCTTGCTATTTCTAGGTTGCTTCCTCCTACGGCTGGCCTGTTTCAACTACACATTGTATTGTCGGGGCCATGGTTGGTTTTGGGATAGTATTTGGAGGCGTAAATGCAGTGTTCTGGAGCTCCTTGGCAAGAGTATCTTCATCATGGGTCATTTCACCATTGATGGGTGCTGCAGTCTCATTTATTGTTTACAAGGGTATACGAAGGGTAAGCACTAGACTAACTTTACTTGCAGCATGCTAGACAGCATTTTTAATTTAAGAGTTACTTAGTTAGGCAGTCACCTTATTGAACACACATCATAAATAGAGGACATAGGACTGTTCAAGACAAGACAATAAGTTAATTCTCTGCTTACCCTATTTCATTTCAGTTCGTATATAGTGCACCAAATCCAGGTCAGGCTGCAGCTGCTGCTGCACCAATTGCAGTTTTTACTGGTGTTACTGCAATATCATTTGCCGCTTTTCCTCTCAGCAAGACTTTTTCAATCGCTATCCTGCAAGCATTAGCATGTGGCGCAATAGGAGCCGTAATCGTTAACAGAGTGATCCAAAAACAGCTTGGTGACCTACTGTCCTCAGAAGCAGAAAAGATAGCATCTGCTGATAAGGCAAATGCTCAGCAAGTTGGATTTCTTTCGGACATAGCTGGACCAACAGGAGCTCAATTGCAGATTGTATATGGTGTATTTGGATACATGCAGGTCTTGTCAGCATGCTTCATGTCATTTGCTCATGGAGGCAATGATGTCTCCAATGCCATAGGCCCCCTGGCGGCAGCTTTGTCCATTCTTCAAGGTGTAGCAAGCAGTGCTGAGATAGTCATACCTACTGAAGTCCTTGCTTGGGGAGGTTTTGGAATTGTTGCAGGGCTTACAATGTGGGGTTACAGGGTCATAGCAACAATTGGCAAGAAAATCACCGAACTAACACCAACTAGAGGTTTTGCAGCAGAGTTTGCAGCAGCTTCTGTAGTATTGTTTGCATCAAAACTTGGATTGCCAATATCTGCTACACATACACTTGTTGGTGCAGTGATGGGAGTGGGATTTGCAAGAGGGCTCAATAGGGTCAGAGCAGAGACAGTGCGTGAAATTGTGGCCTCCTGGTTAGTCACAATTCCAGTTGGTGCTGTGTTATCTATCTTCTACACATTGCTCTTCACAAAGATTCTGGCATACTTTATGTGAGTGATTGTGAAATGTAATTAGTGTTTTGAGAGGTGTACAGCCCATTGCACTTCATAAAAATTTCCGCAATGGCAAAGAGATAGGCTGACTCCAAAAAGTTTCGACCATAAAATTTTTCAGGATTGGCCAGAGTAAATAATCATTTCTTTGGCAACAAAACACATGATTAGGTAAAAAGCTTTTACAGCCAGTTACAATGTTACATACTCCAGCTTGTTCGTCCGTTTATCTCTAATGTACTGCCTTGTATCTTTTGTTTTATATCACAAGGTGGACCATAATAATTTCTTGTAGAGATACAATTATACATAATAGACAACAATGGTTCTTCTATCCTTGCAGTTATGTTACATCAAGGACATGGTTCTTTAATAGCCACTGAAAATTAATAATGTTTTTGTGGTATGGTGCAAGATAATAGCAAGTTCACTGCTAGCAAGAATTCAGAAAAATCCTTTTGCATTAAGAAATTAAACTAACAAATAAATAAAGCATAATTTCTGAGGTGATTAGTGCCAAAAACACTCGCACATTGCGCAACTTGTACTAAGATTCAGCAAGAAACAAGGAACTTTGTGCTTTGTTGTTTAAGTAGACATATTTATCACCGTAAATAGAGGCATGGATCTTCAGGGAAAAAATACAGAGAAAAGGTAATCAACACTAAAAGTAACAGGTTTATCCATTTATGCATGAGCAGGACAGACCTATGATCATAATAATTTTTCCTTTTAACAGGACTCTAATGTAGTGTACAGTACCTTTTTTACAAATCATCCATGAATTCAAGCATTGATTAAAGCATCATTATGCAACTTCTATAGATACTTGATCAGCTCGGTCCTCAGGTTTTGGATGATCCGTAACACAAAACCACCGGTTTGGGGGGTTTGCGTTCCGGATGCCCCAAAATACAAGGTTTTGTGAAATTTACTCTTTGGGAAAAAAAGAGTATAAAAAGGAGAGCACTTACACAAGGCTACGGGCACTTGCACACAGTTAGGAAACTAATACTAGATTCTTAAATTGAGACACGCAAATGCACCAACAAGCTATTCCGATACATGTTATTCAAGCAATAAGGGAAGCATTAAGATTTTTCCAAGAAAAAAACTACTAGGTAAACTGAACACATAGAGATAGATCAGATTGGGGATAGCAAGCTGTAGCACGCACGCAATAAATATGGGAGCAGAGAAGAAAGGGCAATGGCACCAGGGCAGGCGGTGCAAACCCGAAGGGAGGAGTCGGAGTCGGGGGCCGGCTCAGCCGGTCTCCTGGTCGAAGTCGTCTCCGTCGGACTCCTCGACGTTGTCGGCGTCGTCGTCCTCGGCCTCGGCGTCGTACTCCTCCTTGACGTCGCCGGTTGGCTTGCCTATGATCACCAGGTTACTGTTGGTCTTGCGGATCTCGTTCAGCTGGAAGGGGGGGGGGGAGAGAGAGAGGGCCCAGACAAAGGCAGGTGTTAGCAGCGCTGCGCGGGGGGGGGGGGGGGCGTAGCGGGGAGGGGGGAGAAGGGTGGTGAGGCGATCGGTACCTTGTCCTCGAGGTCGGACTCGGCCATGGCGAGGAGGAGCTCGTCCTCCTGGGTGGTGGCGGGGACGGGGAGCAGCGTGGACGCCGGGATCAGCGGCGGCGACGGCCACTGCCGCATCAGCGCCGGGAACTGCAGCATCTCCGCCGCGTGCCGCCGCCGCAACCGCCGCCGGGGTTGGGGATTGGGGAGAGTGGGGTGCCCTCTCCGTCGAATCGAGTGCTCGCTTTTCGATTCGAACTCGCTGGGAAACGCGCCGCGCCGCCGCGACGTCGTGGGGTTCCATTTCTACCCGCTTCCTCCCCCTCCTCCTCCTCCGCACCGTCTCCGTGGGCCGGGGATCAGCGGGCCGGCCCAAGGTTAGCCCACCAGAGCTAACAGTGAAAATTGGAACAAGTCTATTTTATGCCTCCCTCATATGTCGGTCCTGATCGAATCGCCTAGAATCAGGTATAACGAGCCTGTTCATTTTGATGTCAAAAAAAAAAACCCTACTAAATTTTGGTAACTTACCAAAATTTTTGCAGAATTTCTTATATAGTTACCAAAATTTGGGAGCAAACTAAATATAGTCACTTTTTTTTACAACTTTACTAAAAATTGGTAAGGTTGAAAATGGCATCAAAGTGAATAGGCCCAATGTCTTCCGTATCTCCGAAAATTGGTGCCAATCAACTTTTTGATGGTTTAAAAGGTGATTTTTTGCTGACGTAATAGTATGACCACGATTGACTAGCTGAGTCAGCGGGTGAGTCCCATATATGTTATCCTAATCTCATATTCTTTCTCATCTCTCTCTCGCTAAGTGGTGGTGGGAGCTCGCCAAGGCCCCCTTTGCGACGTGGATTCCTTTGCTGCCACCACTATCCAGGTGAGGACGGAGGCCTCGATCTATGACACCGTAGCCAAGGAGGACTACGCCACACTCGTCACCCGCTGCCGCAAGAAGCCTCGGCCTGCGTCGACGACGGGAGGAGAACTATACCCACCACGCCATCCCGTTCTTCGATGACAAGGGATTCAATGACGAGGATGACGCCCCTCACGAGTGGAGAGTAACCGCATGAGCAGTCAAAGCATACACAGCAACAATATGCTGCTGCAGTGTCCCTTTCTGCCATTGCCACCATGATGGGCAAGCACCAAGCAGCTGCTATCCTCCATATTCACATCCTCACCGAGCTCCCATCGCCGCCGGAAAGGATCCTTTGACTTAACTGTTGTGCAGTTGAGTCACTGACATGTGGGCCATGAAAAAATAGGACCCACATGTCAGTGACTCAACTGCATGTGCAGTTAAGTCAGAGGATCTGCTTCCATCGCCGCCGCCTAGCGAAAGAGATGGGGAAAGAGACATATGGAGATGTGAGGAATAAGATGAGATTAATATGACATGCGGGCTCTACATGCTAACTCAGCTAGTCAGCCACGATTAACCTACCATGTTAGCAAAAACTTTTTTAAGATGAAAAAGATGTTATACCAGTTTTACGGTTGGAGACAATTTAATCAGGAACCAAAGATGAAGGAGTCCAAATAAAACTATTCCGAGAGAAATTGCTCCAGTCTCCATGTCCATGGGCCGGCCCATCCTAGCAGCGCATGAATTGTTGCCTCGCATCGCATTCGATCGAGAAAGAATTTTTCAGAGCCGCAAGAGAGGGGGAGACGAAGGTTGGAGCTCCCCGTGCTTGTCGCTTCACGTTGTTTTCGCCTGTTCAAGAGAGTGTTTTTTTTTTCACTGCATCCTTATCCATAAACGTCTTATCCAGAAAGATAGAAACCCGTGGTTAATCTCAAGTTTTGTTTCTACAAACAAATCTTAAGTTTTACGATGATCTATATTATATCACTTCATACTGTGATGATGGTGTAGTTTTTCTAACTCCACTTTAGGCTGGCAGAGTAAATTGATTTAGGCATTTTAGTTCACCTATATTAGTGCTGCATGCGTACTGCTGGACTACTGGAGTGCAAAATTGCCATAAATTTTGCCAAGTATGCCTGATGTTTGTCATAACTCATAAATACACCTCCAACTTTTATTAGTAAAAACATAATATATTGCCCGGCCGTCTCTTATAAACCAATGCATAGAAAAAAATCAAATGTTATGTGAAAAAAACTACTACTCCCTTTAATCATTAATATATACTGTTGATACTGTATGTCGTTTGTCAAATTGAAACTAATGTTAAGAACGTCATACATTAATTATCGAAGATAGTATTGCACACATACAGGATGTATATCAAAATTTAATAATAAGTGGGCTACGAGTAACAGCCCGTACGCGCACGTGTGGTGTGTGTGCATGTGCGTATAAGGCATGCTTAATTTATGTACAAACCTATTTTTATACCTCGAGGAAAAATGGGAAAAAAAACACCTGTCGGCCGGAAGATAAAAATTCCACCTATAAACCCCCCTCGGCCGTTCCCACCTCTCCCCTTCTTTTTCGCCACCCGATCCGGCAACAACAACGTACGTAACCTCCTCTCTCTCTCTCTCTCTCTCTCCCCTTCCAGCCGCGCGCGCGCACGCACGCCGCCGTCGTGACGTCGCCGTCGCGGTCGCCGCCATGGATCCGACGCCGCAGTCGCACCCGATCCTGGCGTACGTGCTGTCGCGGCTCCCGTCGCTGCTGCCGGTGTCGCCGTCGCTGTCCACCCCGCGCGCGCGGGACATCGAGCAGCCGTCCCCGCGGGCGCCGTCGGGCGCCGCGGAGTTCGACCTCGTCAGCCGCATGCCGGGGCTCCGCCACCCGTCCGTCCTCTCCGCCATGACGCGCGCCGTCGCCGACGTCTCCTCGGCGCGCGACGCGCTCCGCCTCCTCGGCCCCCGCCCCGACCACGAGCTCGTCGACTCCGCCCGCGCCTTCCTCCGCTCCCACGCCGCCGAAGAGGCCGAAGAGGAGGAGGAGGACGAGAAGGTGGCGAAGAGCCGGGAGGTGGTGCGGCTGGACGAGGCGCACGAGTCGTACGGTGGCTTGCTGCGGGAGGCGGAGGAGAGGCTGGATCGCGTGTACCGGACGGCGATGAGAGGGAGGGACATGCAGGTGGTGGCCGCGGCGCACGGCGGTGGCGGGGAGGAGGAGGCCGGGGTGGTGGACGACGAGGTGGTGCGGGTGCTCCGGGACGCGGAGGAAGGGAAGGCGGTGGAGCGCCTCCTCCTCGCCGACCGGCAGCTCCGCCACCTGCCCGAGCAGCTCGGCCGGATCCGCGGCCTCCTCGTCCTCGACGTCTCGCGAAATCAGCTCAAGGTATTATTAATTGCTGATTTGTTTCTGTCATTTTCTGTGGTTATCGATCGCCAACCTGCAAAACCTGCATTGCGTTGCGCGGTTGCGTTCGCGGATCACGAGTTCACGTCGTTTCAGATTTAGAAATTAGAAGAACTGTTCGTCCGATCCGGGGAATTCGGGTGATAGGGAGATTTGTTATGTTTTGCATTTCTCGGGTAGTTTTTCAGTCCAGAAATGCAGATCGTATAAGACATTGCAGATGTGCATGCCCCAAAAATAATGGATGACGGGTAGAACGCAATGCTGGTTAATTAAAATTGTCACTGAAAGCAATCCACTTATGAGTTAGGTTTATGAGAATTGTTTTTGCATTTTTTTTTTAAGATCACGCATGTTTATTTTTGATATCATGATTATTGAACACGAATGAATTATGAGCATAGAGGAGTCAAATATGGTATAAAAAAGAAATCATTTTCTTCCAACTACGAAATTGCGCAATATGCTAGTAAAACTGAATGTGGTGATGTGGTCCATTCAAGAATTTCTGGTTTACAGGCTACAGTCCCACAAAGCTAGAAAACACTGTAAAGTTCAGTTTTATTTTCTTTCCATCTGTTAGTACTAGCTATTTTCATTGAATTTGCAGAATGTCCCAGATGCCATAGGCGGGCTCGAACACCTGGAAGAGCTTCGCCTCGCTTCCAACGCGTTGGTCTCCCTCCCGGACTCCATAGGCCTCCTCACCAGCCTCAAGATCCTCGACGTCTCGGGCAACAAGCTGAGGTCTCTCCCCGACAGCATCTCAAAATGCAGGTAGAATCAACCAGCCAAGGCCAAAGCACGCATCATCATCATCTTCTTCTTCTCCCCAATGGCATCCAGATCCAGTTAAAGAAACTTCAATTCTCGCTAATGGTGATCATCACAAAATGATCCAAACGTACAGGTCGCTGGTGGAGCTGGACGTGAGCTACAACGTGCTGTCGTACCTCCCGACGGGGATCGGGCAGGAGATGGCGAGGCTGGAGAAGCTGTGGGTGCACCTGAACAAGCTGCGGTCGCTGCCGTCGTCGGTGTGCGAGATGCGGTCGCTGCGCCTCCTGGACGCGCACTTCAACCAGCTCCGGGGGCTCCCCGCGGGGATCGGGAGGCTGGCGGCGCTGGAGTCGCTCAACCTCAGCAGCAACTTCAGCGACATGCGCGACCTCCCGGCGTCGTTCGGGGACCTGCTCGGCCTGCGCGAGCTCGACCTCAGCAACAACCAGATACACGCGCTCCCGGACTGCTTCGGCCGCCTCCAGCGCCTCGAGCGGCTCCGCCTCGACCAGAACCCGCTCGCCGTGCCCCCCAAGGAGGTGGTGGCCGGCGGCGTCGGCGCCGTCAAGGAGTACATGGCCAGGCGGTGGCGCGACGCCCGCGCCGAGGAGGAGCGCCGGGGCAGCGCCGTCGCCGAGAGCCCCAGGGTGTCGACGCCCAAGGAGTGGCTGGTGCGCAGCGTCTCGTCGCTGGGCAGCTGGGTGTCCGACGTCACGAGGTACGGCGCCGGCCAGGACAAGGCAGCGGCGGAGGAGGAGGAGGACGCCTACCTCCAGCAGAATCTGTGATCGGAGATTACAGCATTTGCTTGCTCCGGTGCTTTCATCCGTATGTACAGAAGAACTACTGCAGACCGTCGCCGCGTCGTTCGTTTCGCATCAGCCGTGTGTTTGTGTGTGTTTACCTTCGCTGATTCCTTACCATTTACCATTTTTGTTGTTGTTGTTTTAACCGTTTTGCTGTTTAAAACTTTTAAACCCAGGTTACTGGACCACAGTGCCTGTGTGTTTGTTATATTTACCTTGCTGATTCCTAACATTTTTTTGGAGGTTTTCGTTTAACCATTTTGTGACTTTGTTTGATGAAGTGCAGTCAATCGAGAGGCCATGAATTCCGATACGGTCAAGCTCACCATTTTTGTTGTTGTTTAACCATTTTCTTAAGACACCAACGCTGCTTTAGTTAAATAAAAGGGCTCTGGTATTCCCCAAAAAAAAAGAAAGGGCTCTCCCAAAACGCAAAGAGAGCATAGATATTCATCACGACAGTCAACAGCACCAGCAAAGCAACAAATTCTTACTAGTAGATTGGAGCAAAGCCGGACAATCTCAGGTCATTCATTCCAACAGCACCAACAGGGCAACCAATAGAACATCGGGAGAAAAAAAGAATGAACGAGATCATACAAACATCGATTAACATACGCAACATAGATCTTATTAATCCATCAAGTTCCAGTCACAGCAGTAGATAAGAGGCATAGAGCAGCTAAGCCCATAGTAATTACACGCAGTTTACCTGGCAAGGTAACCGCTTTTTAAGAGGCGCGCACGCGCACTTAACACATATCTCCGCGACAAATATACCAGTCGCACAACACCACACACAGTTCATAAGCAAGCAGGCCCTGAGACTGTAGCAGCAGCCCCGGCGGCCGGCGCTAGCCTTACACCTCGTCACATTATTTACGCATATACACACATAGTTAGGTTATAGATAGGGATGGCTCAAGAGCACACGATCTTCACTGGTCTTTCTTCTCCCTAGCGATGAGGTCCATCACAGCCCGCTTGATGCTTCCTCCGTTCTTCTCGAGCATCTCCTTGTTTATCTCAGTGTCCTCAAAGCCCTGAAAAGGTGAAACAACAGCTAACTTCAGAACCTTGCCAATACATTCGTGCCTGTGAGGCTGTGAGCACTGTCCAGAATAGGGCACATGTGATCTTACCATTTCCTGCAACTCCTCCAGGAGAGGGTCCCATTCGCTGACGCCACAGAGATCATCGACAGACTGCTCCAGGTTGTACTTGTTCTGCCTGAGTATCTCCTTGTTCAGATCGACCTGCCTAAAACCCATTTCCTCAAGTTCCTTCAGCAGTTTCTCTTCTGTGAGATTGTCAATGCCATGATGATCAGATGATGATGCACCAACAGACGCAGGTGCATTACCAGCAGGCACATTAACAGTTGGAGGCACAGGAGTCACAGCAGGTTCAGGCGCAGGCTCATCAAAGACAGGCACAAAAGCAGCAGCAGTTGAACTGGAGGGAACATCAACATCAATGATGGGGTGAAGAGATGTTGTGGAAGAAACAATGGGCACAGGTAATGGAGCAGGCTCAGGATTCTTGGGCTCGTCAATCTGGTGGTGTATCAAATGTTCAAGTAACTCCTTGTTTGTGCTATTGACATGTTGGTTGAAGACTTGATCCACAGGCTCAATATTGACATCAATCAAATTACTTGTGTTTGTGATATTGCTTTCTGGGGGCAAATTCAAGTTTATAGCGGCAGTCCTGTTGTTACTGACAAAAGAAGGATCCTCCACCTGCAGATGCAATCAGAATTTAGATGTTAAGAAAGATAGGTATGAGTGTCAAGATTCTAGACCTATATGGACAAAAGGAATGGTAGAGTTGACAACCTGGATGTGAACCCAAACACGCTGACCAAATTTCTGGCCAGAAGGTGATGCTAACCTCCAGTAAGATATATACCTCCCAGGCCTTGCAGGTGCCACAAAATCAACAGCAACATCAATCTCCTGATCAACAGGAAACCCGTCCACTGGAATCTGCACAGAACACAAACTCAGGTTTAATGATTTTACATATTTTAAATAGCATGCAGTCTAAACTACAGTCAAAACAGTAAACTGAACAGGGGTCACAGTATGCATAACTACAATTAGAACAGTAAACTGAAAAGAGGTCACAGTATGCATAGTACCTACCTCTAATGGAACATAGGTCTGCAGTGCAAACTGGTCGCCACCAACCCATATAAGCTGTGTGCCCAAGGGCCACATGATAGACCCATTGTTATGCATACGCCAAATCTTAGTAAACGGAGTTGAAGGTGCCATCAATGTTCCATCCAGGACAGTTACATCCAAAATGAAGCGACTTTCAAGTTTCTCCCGCTTTGACTTCATCGCAGCCCGTGAATGGATCTTGCGACACTGAAACCAAGAAATTATAGGACAAACTAATTGTTAATATATTATTTTGTGTCCTTAAACCTATTTATACAAACCAGAGTACAGGATGGATGAGTTTGCTAAATAATGCATCGACAAACATACACGTGCAAGCGTATGCCTGTGCACTCATGCCTACAAATTGGGTACTCACCAATGTAGGGTCTCTCAGTAATCTCTGGGGTAAGAGTGGCTTGTCAATCCTGGTGTACTCGACCTCATTGCCCATGCGATGAAAGCAGGCATCACACAAATCATAATCTTCTTTTCTGTTGGCAAAGAGGCGAAGAGGAGGGATGTCAAATACTGAGATAGGAAAAAGAAACTAGATAGAGCAATAGCTCAATTAAAATCTTACGTTTTAGACTTGTATCGAGGCCCAACAATTGGTTGCACTCCACAACCATCACACTGAATCCATCTATGGAATGTGCGTGCTGGTGAGTTCTCAATGTTATTACCAAGGTCTCCATGCAGATGGCCAGAGGACAAGAGGCGGCCAGGGTAAGGAAAATGTGGAGAAGGTCCATAGCTCATTGGTGCAGGCATTGGTGGGGGTGGACGGCTCAGGGGAGCATGGGGTTGGAATGGATGGCCAGCTCTGCACAATGGAACACGCCATCTGGAATCACTATTGGCTTTTGGATCAGCTTCAGACTGCCAAATAGATGGGTAAAATGTCGATCCACGTGCTGGTGGCTGAGACCAATCATTCAGAGATGGAATTGGAGGAGCTGGACGGAAAGCAGGAGCAGCAGGAGGGGTAGGTGGTGTAGCAGAGGTCATAACAGATTTTCCCTTGCTTTGAGCATCACTAATTCCCTTGCTGGCAGATTTGTCATCACCTGAGTTCGGTAAAAAGGGGGAGAACAGCAACTCCTCAATGGAAGGGTATAATGATGCCTGTTGACCTTGAGAAGATTTAACACCCGATGTAGCAGGAGCCTCAACTGACAGAGTCTTAAGACCTCTAGCACCAGATGATTTGGAGTTCTGCGTGTCCAAGGGTTGCGACCCCAAACTTGTGTCTATTTTGGGCTCGTCATTAGTTTTGGGATCAACCTGTGTTTGGGGCAAACCAGTTGAGGAGCTGCAGGAACCATCAGCATGCCCATTAGATGGGTTGTTGTTGCTTGGTGTAACCAGTTTAACAAAAGGTTTTATTAGCTCAGCTAATTGTGGTGATGCGGCTTCAAGTACTTCATGGGACAGCTTCGCAAGTGTCTCAGGAACTGGCTCCTGGATGGACTTCATAGATATCGGCTTCAAAACCTCATCGATAACTGATTTAATATGAGCTAGTGGGTCTTCAGTGGTGGTGGACCTGAGAGGTATATTATCTGAATCCTGCTGTTTGGCCTGAGGTGCTGCAGTGTGGCTGTTGTTTAACTGAACATTAATCCTGAGGGGGTTCAGTTTCTGATGAATAGCAGCATCATGCAGATCATCATCATCATCCAGCATGACAATATCCCCATCCTCATCAGTGTAAGTCAGAATGAAGTCGACATCCGAACCAAACTTAAAAGCAGATGCAATCTTGGACCGGAGAGCGGATAAGTTCAGGCTGAATTGTGGTCCTTGCACATACCCACCGAACCTCTTAAGAGTTTCACCATACTTCACCTGAAATATGTGAAAAGGGATAATTTGAGAACTGCTAACAACAAAATTTGAATCAAACAACACAAAACACACGAACAATGAAAGACAATGTATGATTCTTACCATCAAGAAATTAAATTGGACTAGATAACACATATCCAAACTGCATTACATATTTATAGGAAGTCAGTTGAAAGAATAGTTGAAGATCCATAGGGTCCATTCAGATGGTAGAGGATTTAGTTTAATCACTTATTTTTTGTGATGTCTACTATTCTAATTTGAGCCTAGGATAGTAAGATTGAATTATTTTCATCAGTTGCCATATTTCCTTGATGCAAAAATATATCTGTTGCAACTTGATTAAGAAAGAGGAAGCTAGATGAACATTAAAATATGAAAATAAAAAGGAGCAGTGAAAACAAACCCATGCTAAGGCTCAATGACTTTCTGCACTTGGTCTATACAATAATTCATTGTGGGGGTAGTTAATTTCTCAGACAGACTCCTATGGTATTACTGGGCTCCTAATTGAATAGATGGGTTTAGCCCTTCCTTTGGGCAATGTTTCTCCAGGCATCACCGGATTCAGGAAAAAGGTTCTATATGAAGTGTACAATAACGAGGGCATCACTTGTTTCATATATATCATTAGATAGAATGTAGATAAACTGTATAAGGTAATAGTATATTAAAAGGCAAAATATCCTAGAGAAGTTTTGGTTATTTTACCAACAGTGGAACTCAAAATATACTCGTGTGTTTATAAAGCAAGCATGAACTCTGAAAGCATAGACAAACTGAAGATGTTAAATCTCGGTATCTCAGCTAGGACAAAATATTGGCCCGATTTCATTTCAAATAACAGTAATATCATAATCATCGTACCTATCAATTAGAAAAAGGCATAACAACAGTAAAACCTACAGAGTAAAAACATTTCCACAGTTGAACAAAGTGCAAGTACATTCTAGATTATCATTGTACATGTGAAAGTTACACGGATTTGAAGCTGAAGACAATAGTTTGCCTACAAATGGTAAGATGTATTATTACCTCTCCCCCATGAGCTGGAGGTTTTAGAATTTAGATTAGCCATATACCTCACTACCTCCCCTGGCCCAGGGAATATTTAATCCCAAGATCATGATCCCACTAGACAAATAAATTCCTATCACCAATCAAACAGGGAACTTCACACTAGCAGATAATCGAATGTTCAAGAAGTTTTGAGGTTTGGAAACATTCAGAAAGTTTGCATGTGGTCGAGTACAGTCAAGAAGTAAGCACATGAGCATATACAAGTGAGGCCATAAAGGAAACAAATCACAATAAACATACTAAGCACGGTTGTACGTGAATAATTGCATCAAAACAACAAGAAATATACTCAGCTCAAACATACGCCTAAGAAATGGTACCAGACCACTAATAATTGTTAGGAGTACTTATTAAGGACGGCTGAATTATTTTTTTCTGACCAATACCCAACACCCATCAGAATGGTAAAAGAATAGAATACATCTTAGAAACTGAACTCATGTAGGAGTATGATTTTTGTTTTGTGCAAAAAGATGAAGGCTCTTCTTTTTTTTTTCTTTTTTTGATTAGTTTAACACCAGGCAGGCGCGCGTCATCAACAGTCGGAGGAATCGACATTCATCAAAACGAGCTGACGATTCTTAAAAAAAGAAAAAAAAATCAGACCAGGGCAGACCTCTAAGCTAACAAAGAGTAATCAAACTCCCCTAATTTCTCACAGGCCAAAAAAAAACTAACTAGCGTACACAAATCCCGCAACACCACACATTTCGTCAATCAAACCCTACGAAAACGATAAGTACGCAAGCCCCCCACGCTTCCCCCAAACCCCCACCAGGAGCGATTCCCCTTTCCCCTTCCCCTTCCCCCTCCGCCATCCCCTCCCCCTAATCACAAAACAAAACCACAGCTCAATCCTGAAAAATAGACGATCATCTCACCTTGAGGACGACGTCCCACTCGTCGGGACGCGACGCGAGCCCCTCGTACATCGGCGAGCTCCGGCCGGACATCGCGGGGGTGCGGGCGTGCGGCGGGAGGGCGGAAACCCCTCAAACCCTCAGGACGCGGCGTCGATCGATCGCGCGGAAGAGCAACAACAATCCCCCAACAGAAGACCAAACCCTAGATCGATCGAAGAGAGCGGAGCCGAGGAGGAGGGGAAGAGAGCTGCGTAGCCGTGAGCCGCAGCGGCGGAAGAGAGCGGTGGTGCGAGAGAGAGAGAGAGAGGAGGAGAGGAGAGAGTGGCGGTGGCGATGCGGCCGAGTCCCTCCTCGATGCCCCCCCTTTTATCGCGCAAAACCGTTTCCTTCGATGCGAAGCCTGGGCGACAACCAGAGAAGACGGTTGGGCCATTAAGTCGGCTGGGGGCCCACGTGTCAGCGGCGCGGGCCACGCTCGCGGGGGAGCCGTAGAGGGGGCTGCGTGTAAAAACCCCCACAGGGGTATATGTGAAATTTATTACGTGTAATGTTACGGGTGAGAGTGTAAAAACTCGTGCGGTCCCCCATCCTTTTCCTCCCGTGGGGCCCACGGTGGGGCCCACGTGCCAGTGACGAGAACTGGATAAGGGGGCTCTGGAATATCCTAGAGTATTTTAATCCTGCCATCTTCTTTTCGCGCAAGGCCGGGGAGAGCACACCGCCGGAGGGCGGCGGCCTCCGCTCCTCGCCTTTGGGGTCGCACGAGGGTCGCTGACATGTGGGCCCGGTGGGATCTAGTATAATCCTCGCATCGGTATTTCGTAGGAGTATTGGATTGTCGGTGAGGTGTGCCGTTTTGTTTAATGATCTGCTGCTAGCTCTTCTTGGCGTGTAAGTTTTGGCCTTGGCGTTTGACGACTAGGCGAAGGAACTTTGGCGTCGCCGTCGTCGAAGTCGTCGAGGATGACGACGAATTCGGGTGTGTTCGCCACAGCGGAGCGATATATTAGCACATGATTAATTAAGTATTTACTATTTTTTAAAAAAATAGATCAATATGATTTTTTAAGTAACTTTCGTATATAAATATTTTTTTAAAAAAATACTGTTTAGCAGTTTGAAAAGCATGCGCGAAAAATAATGAGTGAGGGGTTGGTGCCGAACACATCCGCACCGGGTCCAGGACTACGGGAGTGGGGACTAGTCTCATAGAGGGACGATTGGCAGACGTACGGTTGTGTTCGGGAGTGAGGGTTGGGTACTAGAATGCAAAACGAAGCAGCGTTTAGCACATGATTAATTAAGTATTAGCTAAAATAAATTTAAAAAATAGATTAATATGATTTTTCAAAGTATACGGGATCGACTAAATGAGTACGGCAAACGCTAACAGGTGAAGTCGCAGATGACAACACGAGTTCATTTAGGTTGAAGTTGGGGGCTACTGTCATGATTATGGATAAGGCATACCTCCTATCTTAGGACTTATGGAATATATGAATACGGTATACCTTCACGTATACGGGTTGTTTCCGTATGCTCTAAGAAAATTCATCAGATATTAAGGAAAATATCCTTACGAGTCGAGAGACTGACAAAGTCCTACTCGGTAGGGATAGGGTCCTTACCATATTGTACGGGGTCTGATGTCGATCTGATGTTTCTGAGTTCTACTTGGAGATCAAGATGACCTACGGTACAAAAGGCACCCCCTGGGAGGGGTTCAAGGCATCGAATCTCACCGCCAACACACCCATCATAGTCTACGAAGCCATGTATGAGATTCGAAGGCATCGAATCTCATAGCACGTGAAGCCAAGTCACCATGAGGTCTCGTCGAATCCATCGACTACTATCCCATCGGTATCGCCAAATTCATTTGTTCCCATTGTACTTTGTGGTTTTTTCATATCAATCCTATATAAACTGGACTAGGGTATGTTCATTTCTTCTATAAGTAGAGGATAAAATTTTAGATATTCGTGGCACGCTTTTCAAACTGCTAAACGGTATGTTTCGTGCAAAAACTTTCTATATGAAAGTTACTCTAAAATATCATATTAGTTCATTTTGCATGTTTTTAGTAATTAAAACTCAATTAATCGCACGTTATTACTATCTCATTTTGTGTGAAGCATTTAATCTTTATCTTCAGGAGATTCAAACACCACCTAAGACTATTACTTGATTAGGGGCCTGAACCGGTATAATTCTTGTCTTTGTGTTTGCTTGATATCATATCACGTAGATACTCGTACCAACGAACCCTAATACCCCAATCATCCAGTCTACGGGTATCGACAAACATTTTTATCTCTGTAATAACTCATTCGTTTGCTGCCTCGATTGTTATCAGAAAATCAGATATTCTTCCATCAATTCAGACTTATCAAACCGGGCCTTAGTTCAGCACACTCAAACCTCACGCTCTCTTGGGCCTCTTACATATAGCCAGACCGAAAAAGTACACCGAAGGTCCCTCAACTTGTTATCGAGTTACAAAATCGTCCCCCAACCGTAAAACCAGATATCCGGCGTCCCTTAACTAATCAAAACCGGTCATAATAAGCCTTTCGGTGGTTTTGACCCGATTTTATCCTACGTGGCGGCTGAGTCAGCGTGTAACCCATGTGGGGCCCACATGTCAGGCTACCACGCCAGCCTCCTCTCTCTCTTTTCCCCTCTTCTCTCCCTTCCTCATCTCTCTGTCCCTTCTTTGACTTAGCCGGTGGGAGGAGGAGGGTGTCGGCGGGCGGCGACGGGCAACGCGGCGGCGGCGATGGCATCGATGGGCGACGCAGCAGCGGTGGAGGGAGGAGCTGCGGACGGGCAGGGGGTGGGCGGCGGGAAGGGGCGGCGCGCGGACTGGGCGACGACGCTGTCGCGCATGACGTAGATGGCGTCGGAGTTGTGGAGGAAGTCAAGTGTGCCGTCCCTTCCTGCCGCCCGCGCGCGTGCCGCCCCTTCCTGCAGCCGCGCGCACACCGCTCCTCCCCCTGCCCGCCCGCGCACTGCTCCTCCCCTCGTCGCCCGCGCGCTGCTCCTCGCCGCCGACGCCCTCGTCCTCCAGCCGGCTGAGTCAGAGTAGGGAGAGAGAGATGAGGAAGGGAGAGAAGAGGGGAAAAGAGACATAGAGCGAGGAGGCTGACGTGGCAGCCCCGACATGTGGGTCCCACGCTGACTCAACCACCACATAGGATAAAACCGGGTCAAAAAAAACATCAAAGAACCTATTATGACCGGTTTTGATTTACGGGACGCCGGATATCTGGTTTTGTAGTTGGAGGACGATTTTGTAACTCGATGACAAGTTGATGGACGTTCGGTGTACTTTTTCCTAGCCAGACCCAAGAAAGCTATTGGGCCGAAATATATACATATTCACCCTGGCCCGCTTCCGTCCACCACTCTCTCTCGCTGCACTGTAGTCGCCGCAACCCAGAACAGCGGCACGAAACCCCGAACTCCCTCCCCCCTCGCGCCGCCTCCCTCCCCGATGGAGCCTCTGCAGGAGGCGGCGGCGGCGGCAGCCGGCGGCCGCAAGCGGCGCCGCCGAGGAGGCGGCCGGAACCGCCGAAAGCACCAGGCTTCGTCCTCTTCGGGGGCGGCGGCGTCGGCGTCCCCGCCCTCCCCTCCTGCGAAGCGGCAGCGCGGGGACGACGCCGCGCCCAAGGGACGGGGCAGCAAGCCGAAGCCCGCGAGCCTCCTCGACAAGGTAATCGGCTCTCCGGAGCAGAGGTTTGCGAGGCCTAGGCGTGTATTGGTAGGTAGGAGCAGGAGTATATGCCGTGCCAGTAGCAGGAGTCGGTGGAAGTACAAAATGTTCGGGGTGGTATCGGGAATAAATTTTGACTAGGGTTGATGGGTTATTTAGTGAATCTGGATGATCTCTCAGTGTGGGTGAAGTCAAAGCATAGGGTGCCTCCTCTGTTATTCTTTAGTAGCGACAGTAGAAGTGCCAAACCTCAGTAATTCAGTAGTGCTTCGTATGCTCTTATGCATGGTTGAATGTGATACATTGCTCTGAATTTGCACAGTATTCACATTTTCTTTAGGCAACACAGTATTCACGTTAGGCTTTTATTTGCTGCTCCTTAATAATTTAATAACTTTTGCTTAAAAAACAAAATTAATGAACTAGCCTGCAGTTTGGAGATAACTCATGACTTATTATATGAATGTTTTACTTATTTTACCTTCTGTTTATTCTTTGAATTTTTTTTCTCTGAGCTAATTAGTTGATATGTTTTTTTTATGATGTGCACTCTAGATGCGTGCAAGGTTATCTGGTGGTCATTTCAGAATGTTAAATGAGAAACTATACACTTGCAGGTTCGAATTCTTCTCCAGATAACACTACTTTTATGCTAATGATGTGCTGCTATTATTGAATGCTTTACATTATCAATACTGTATTGAACAGTCTTCAACCAATAATGAAGTGTAAGAACATGACGATACTCCAAATTTCGTATGTTGAAATATCCACACAGTTTGTAGCTTACATTTTGTACAAAATACTGCTATCTTTAATCATGCTAAGAGATAGTGACATGCATCAATCTTAACCTTCATGCTTTGTCTGACCCGGTACTGTTAATTATTGGTCATATCAACCGGTATGCCTGAAAAACATGGATTGCCCTCTCACGTATGACTCAGAATATTCTAAATTGGAGTTCCTAATGTGGCTTCGACTTTACCCTTGGAAACTGGAAATGTAGAAATCACTAATCAGAGCTTCATTTTTGCAATATTCACACTTTTACTCAAACATTGTTTTTTTTTCTTTTCAGTGGACAAGATGCATTTGACTACTTCACAAATGAGCCTGATCTTTTTGATGTGGTATGCTATGCACTTTTCATCCATTTTGGTAATCTTATTGTTTGCTAGATGAATTTTATCTTTGAAGAGTATGGGCAACAAATTTTGAACTCTGGGTGGTGACTTTTTCATATCTTACCTCATCAACTCTTCAGTCAGTGCCTTATTGTTTGTACCTCTACAGTTCTATCTACACAAACCTCATGCTGTTAGTTGTTTCTTTCTTATTTGAATAATTATTTTTGTGTATTTTGTGGGAGGAAAATGTATTGCAGCGATCGATATGCAGGGACTTTTTGCATTGCAGCAATAATTGCCCCTATGGTTCATACCACCTGATATATGGCTGAGATTTCACTTTGTTTTCTTTTAGTATCATGCAGGATATCGAGAGCAAATGTCGCATTGGCCAGAGCAACCAGTAAATGTTATAATCAATTGGTTGAAGAGTCATAGTGCATCTTGGACAGTTGCAGATTTTGGCTGTGGTAAGAATGCTAAACATTTACTCTCAATATGCCGACACCTTTTCACAATGTTTTCCTTTTTATTTCCCTGGCATAATCATGGTAATACAATTGACATCTTGTCTAGGCAATGCAGCAGTTTCTAAAAATGTGAAGAACAAGGTTTTCTCCATCGATCTTGTTTCAGAGGACCCTTCAGTCATTGCCTGTGATATGGCTCATGTAAGCATTTAACCATATCTTGTATGGTTGTACCTCTTTGGTGCTTTAACGTGTTGGCATGTTGTTTATGTGTGTTAGCATAAATGAACAAAGTGTTTCTTGGTTCATTTCCAGTTTAGCTTCAGGGGAAATTCTGGCAATTCCTTGTCAGCCATGTATGCTCTTTTTCCATGATTCTTACTAAGCTTCACAACTACACTATGTGTCATTACAAAATGACCCAACTTTAATCCTCCAAATATTGGTTATATTCTTGTGCACCTTGATTTCTTAGTGTGGGTTCCACAATTTATCTTTCATGATTCCAAGTCATTACATGGTCAATACTCTTTTAGCATTGAATTTTTCTGATGTTAACATGTTGTTCCTGTGTTAAAAATAGAAGCCATTATGGTCGATACTCAAATACTCAGTACACTCATGCATGAATTACAAGTAATGTAAGTATGTGTATGAGGGCCAAAGGTAAAAGCAGCTGGCCAGTTGCTATTCTTACAATGGAGGTGCATTATCAACCAAAAACAATTTCTGATAATTCTTTAATATGTCACAAGAAGGAAATAAATCACTAGCTTTGGGCCATTTTAAACATAGCTCTTGGGACATTCTAAACATTTTTCATGATTTCCATTATGTGCAACATATGTAAAACAACTATACGAAATAAACACTAAAATATCTGTTTTTTTTAATTGAGTTGTTACTTAAACTAAAGGCTTTGTTATTTCTGTAGACTCCATTGGAGTCATCCTCTGTAGATGTGGCAATTTTTTGTCTGTCTTTAATGGGAACAAACTATCCGAGTTATATAGAGGAAGCAAACCGAGTTCTCAAACCAAGGTTTGCCCCTAATGATTAGCTGCTACACTTCTATGACAAAGTATGTGCTTCCTTTTTTACTATTGATACATTTGTTTATGCAGTGGTTGGCTTCTTATTGCTGAAGTGAGGAGTAGGCTAGACCCAAACACTGCAGGTGCTGATCCTGATAAATTTTGTGAGGCCATCAGCAAGCTTGGGTTTTCCCTTGTTTCGAAGGTATACTTACGGTTTCTTCTACCTTTTTCTCAAGTGGACTTTGGGGCTGTTTGGTTTGTTGCCGTTTGTAACCATACCAGCTTTAGCGGTGCCAAAATCAGTTAAGATAGAGGTATATATGGTGTGTTTGGTTTGATGCCTTGCCTAAACTTTTGACATGATGTTGAGTTAGGAAGTTTCTAGAATTACCAAATTTTGGTATGGAGGATATATGAGGTAATATTTGGTTTCCCAAAGCCAAAATTTATTATGGCCGAAAATGGTAACAAACCAAACAACCTCTTAGTTACAATGAGTTAATTTTATATAGTGAAGTCCTAGAAGGAATGAAGGATTATAACATAATATGGCGATGTTTACTGATGTCCAAACCAAAGGCTAAACTCCTGAAGCGCATATGTGAAAAAGGACATATCATCTATTAGCGAACTGATGGAATAACGACTTGTATATCTCAAGAAAAAAAATCTCTGACTTCTTGGATGTTGGGCTGAAAATTAGCTTGATAGGATTGGGTGATTATTATATTTATCCCATTTCATAATTGACCATTTAATATGGTCAGAAACTGAGGCCATTCTGGTCCACTGGTTTGTGCTGATATATTTGTTACTATTTAATCTATACTATCGCTCGATGATATATTTATTACTATTTAATTTATTACTATCTCTGGGCATCACTAAATGTTCAAAGCCATGATGATGTTGCTTTTAGTGCAGTAGTTACCGAACAATAGGTCATATTTTCAAACATCGCATCCTTACCATGTACTTCAGAAACTAATATGTTCTTTGTGCCCATTCTCTCTTTGTGGTGATGGTATCTGAAATGTTTCCTTTGATGTACCCACATGACGGATTCCCATTTTGTGTATCCTTTTCATGTGTGGTACTTATTTTGTGATATGAAAATTGTTCTGTATTGACACAAGACTGTTCTGTGCGAAAAGAGAACAGTGTCATCATGTTTCCTAAATTGGCAATTGGTTCCTTTCTGTAGGATGCGAAAAACAAAATGTTCATTCTGTTCCATTTCCGGAAAAAGGTCAGTTATGCCACTGCCGTACCTTAATTGCACTTGAAAATTACTCTATACTTTGATCATTGAGAGATTATTGTTCAGCTATAGTCTGGCATTGAATGCTGTGGTTTCACGTCTTTGCAGGAAAAGAGTAAGGTGGTCAAAAACATCGATTGGCCTCAGTTGAAACCTTGCTTGTACAAACGGCGATGATCTCATCCATTGATAACTGTAATTGTACTAGACCTCTTCCAAGGTTCTCTTAAATTAAGTTGTTGATGTACTCTATGTTCCCTTATCTCAGGCTTATCTGTTTCCGTTACTTTCTCTTTTTGTTGTCGCGTGATTTTCTTTATGCAATTATGCGTTGGACCTCACCAGACAAAGGCCTAGTCATCTAGTGGCCTGTCGAATGAGGTATGCTCACAGGGCAGAGTATAATTCTGAATCTGATGCATATCCTGCGTGAGCCTTGTACTCAAACTAAACTAGCAAGTAAGATTAGCAACTTACGAATGCACCAATGTGCCATTTTGTTGCTAGTAACTGTAACCTGTAAATCTCCTAGCTTAACAACGTGGTTGTCTACATTGCTTCTGGACATTTTTCTTCCTGCCTTTTTGACTTGTAGAACGCAGGCTTGGATCGGTATTAACGAGTGACCATCGCTACCGCCATGGATTACGACCGCGACCGATTTGCCTGACTGCCTGCCACTTTCTGGTAGAAATTTTGTTCCTTTTCCTGGGTGGGTCAAAGTCGTCTTTACGTCTCCGACTCTCCGTGCGTGTGGTTGCGTTGCGCATGTTGTTTTCAGTTGCAGACTTCCAGTAGCATCTCCGTGAGTGTGGGGGCGAAATTTGATTCGATTAGACTTTGGCGTGCCATGCTTAAATCGTAAGCAAAAGGTATCATTTTGACAATTATTTGGAGAGATTTGGTCATATCCTCTCCCTAGATTGAAAATTGAGGATTTATACTCCTATAGCGCTGACACGTGAGATCATCTAAGATTACAGGCATGTGGGACAAGAGGATAAATCCTTAAAATTTAGGGTTTGAACGAATGAATTAACTAGTTATAAGTAGTTAAAAAATTGCTTTAGAAAACTATTTTTAAAAAATCATATAGAAATATTTTTGTACTACCTTTGTTCTAAAAATAAGTTTATTTTTCACACATCCCACACATACTAATTAAAAAAAAGAGAGACTACAATGCTTTTATTTTATTAAATCATAATGCAACTATTTCTCACTTTATCATCTTCCAATACAATTATTCCATACTTTCACAATTTCTGATGTAATGATTACTTTAAAAAATGAACGTATTTTTGGGATAAAAGGAAGGAGCTAGAGATGAACTTAATATGGGATGGAGAAAGTATGAAATACACTATTTGAAAGCTTTAAAAACATACAAACGAAAATCCAAAATCAGAGTCAATAGGGCCGGAGGGCACATGATCAGATTTCATAGCTCTTGCCACTGTACTTGCATTCCTTTTCCGAAAAGAACAAAAAAAAAAACACCATTGGGGCACACGTGGCACGCGTTAGAGCATCGAGGCCCACAGCCCCACACTAGAGAAGCTGCCCCTTCTCCAACCCGCAGCGACCAGAGAGACAGCTAGATCGATGTTGCAAATTTTGCAATCGAAACGATGCCCTGGTTTTTGACATAAGTTTATTTTAAGTGCAGGCTTCTTCTCCAGCCCAGAACTGGCATTACAAAATTCGGAGCAGATAAAATACACATATGAACCCCACGGGTGACACCCTAATCCCCAAGATCCGATTGTTTAATAACCAAACTAATCATGCTGCACAGTGATTAGTCCCTCCTAATGGAGCATCAGAGCTTAGTTCGATCTGACAAGTGCCCCCTGTCGACAGAGGCGAGAAAGCATCATCATCATCATCATCATTATCATCACAATCATCATACCAAGTGTACTTACACTAGTACTGGTGTACCACTAGCATATACTACTAATAATTTAAGTTCTTTTTAACCAGGTGATTAGCCAAGATAAACCGTGTACTAATAATGCAATAATTTACAGGACACGGAGCTCTCGGCCTCAGGCTGCTTCGTGCCACCTTCTGGCTTCATGTGCCAGTCTATCTGCATCTCCATCCATGTCTATCGCTGGTGCAGAGAGAAGGTCACAACTCACACGCGCAACGCCTGCCTACGCCCTCATTGGCCGGACGCCTGGGCTCCAGACATGGACAAATTTGGTTAGCCTGTGGGGTCCCTGTGACCCTAATAAACATCGGACCAAGCATCATTAGATCAGTTTTAGGCCCCTTTGAATCGCAAAATTGAGAAAACGTACGAATAAGAAAAACGTAGGATTTTGATAGAATTGTAAGTGTAAAACAGAGGATTGCAAAACGCAGGAAAAACACAGGAATGACCGTTTGATTGAACCGCAGGAAAAACGCAGAAATTAGATGAGAGAGAGACTCAAAGGAAAGTAACTAAGAGGTTGAAGCTCTTGCTAAATTTCCTCCAAAATCTCTATAGGATTATCTATTTCATAGGAATTTCAAAGGATTTGATAGGATTCAATCCTTTGTTTCAAAGAGCTTCATAGGAAATTTTCCTATAGGATTGAAATCCTCCAAAATTCTTATGTTTTTCCTCCAATTCAAAGGGGCCCTTAGTTGGATTTTTGTTTCTCTTTGTTGGTACATTGGTCTTCTTTCAGATGCAGGGGTTTGCAGTGTGGTTTTGCATGAATTGGTTTACTTTCTGTGAAATTCTCGGAAAATTTCTCCGTTCAGAAGGAGAAATGTTTCGTCTACATACCGCAATAGTAGATATTAAAGGACACTAGACATCCTGTATGTGCGCACACACAAATGACACATTCTCTCTTGGTTTGGTTTAGGGCTTGTTTAGTTGGCAAAATTTTTTGGCACGGACATATATTTAAAGTATTAAACATAGTCTAATAACAAAAATAAATTACAGATTCCGCCGGGAAGCTGCAAGACGAATTTATTAAGCCTAATTAATCTGTCATTAGTAAATGTTTATTGTAGCACCACATTGTCAAATCATGACGCAATTAGGCTTAAAAGATTCGTCTCGCAATTTCCTGGTGAACTGTGTAATTGGTTTTTTTTTCTACATTTAATACTCAATGCACGTGTCCAAATATATAATATGACAGCGTGGGAAATTTTGTTTGTGGGAACTAAACAGGCCCTTATATACTGCCGATTACTCACTGCAAAGAATCACTACTAGGAGTACCAAATTAGCCAACCTTACTTTACCAGCAGCACTAGTAGTACTGCTACATTAAGAACCATCCCTAAGAAAGAATCATTTTTTTTAGACAAGGATGTGGTATAAAACCATTTTCATCTAGGTGATGTAATGTAAGATGCCAAGATAAATAATTTATTCGCATGCATCATGGCCCCAATGATTATCATTTTAGCGAAACCAATCTGACCCATTCCATGCCGTGTTTGGGCGGTTTTACAGACTTATCTTTCCGTCCTTTGAATATGTGCAGATCTTAGGGCACTAAAGTAATCATTTTCCACCTATTGTTTCTCTCCACTTTTAATACTCATGGAGTTATATTTGTTCCAGCATTTCTGTTTTACCCCATATCTGTTAATAAGAATTATTCTCCTTTTTAGTGTAGTGGATACCCCAGCTTCCATTGAAAGCTAATAATGGCACTTTTAATGAGTATAATCATATAGTTTTGATTATTCTTTTTCATAATAAAAGTATAATTATAGTATTGTAGTTTCGATCTTACTCTTACTACTATCTCGGCAGCTATATTTTGGGTTTGAGTGAGTAGTATTTCTGTTTTTACCCCCACACTTTGACCTTTTTACGGTTACCTATATATTTTAACATTTTCATGTGCGATTTATCAGTTATAAGTTTAGAAAAAAGATTTTTCCCTTTTTTAAACTTTATTCCATTCAGAAACAGGGTACATGGTTTCTTGTTAGAAGAGCTTTCACAAATCACCTCTCTATACCTCCATGGCTCCATATCCACACACCACTAACCACAGCCACCACCCAGAAGAAAATTCTAGGAAAGCGGCAAGCAATTTTGGAGACCTGACCTGTGGAGTGCACTAACAAGAGTTTTAAGACTTTGACACTTCCTTAATTAACTACTAACTAATAACCGATCAACCAATTAGTTACTCCTCCATGCAAACAAAAACACTACTAATACAACAATAGACTAAGTCTCTCCCCTCAAATCCCCGTGCCACCCAAGCTACAGCTACACAAGCAGTGTGCTACTACTACACAGTGGTCAGTGGTTGGATCATGGTTTTATAAAATCATACGAATATCGCCTGCGGTAACCTTCTCAATTTTTAAAACCACGGTATATCTTACAGTAATTATACGGTTATCATGATAACCGTCCAAATCATGGGGTGACGGTAACCCCATTCAAAACGATTTGGGAAACAGCCGAGCTGAGTCGAAGTCCTTAGGGCCTGTTTACTTTGATGCTATTTCAACCATACTTTTTGGGTAAAGTTGTCAAAAAAAATGTCAATGCTTAGTTTGTTTTTAAATTTGGTAAATACATAAGGCTCTGTTCGGGAGTGAGGGTTGGGAACCCTCACTCCCCGGCACACAAAATGAAGCAGCGTTTTAGTGCATGATTAATTAAGTTTTAGCTATTTTTTTTTCAAAAATAGATTAATATGTTTTTTTAAGCAACTTTCGTATAGAAACTTTTTGCAAAAAAAACACACCTTTAGCAGTTTGAAAAGCGTGCGCGCGGAAATGAGGAGTTGGGAACTTATACTACAAAACAGAGCCTAAGAAATCCTGCTAAAATTATGGCAATATTACCATCTTACTAAAATTTTGACATTACCAAAATTTGGTAAGGTTTATTTTAGCTACAATCTGAATAGGCCCTTAGGGCCTGTTTGGGAGGGCTTAAGATTCTGAGAAGCAACTAGTTGGAAGCCAGCTTTTCCAGCTTCTAGTTTATTTTCTGGATTCTACAACTACAATTTTTCAGAATCTGAACAAAAAACTGTATTGTTTAGGGAAGCTTCTGATTCTAGGATAAACTGCAGCAGCTAAAAGCTTCACCAAACATGCCCCTAGTTGAAAGAAGGCGACCATTAAACTGTTAGTAGCACAAATCTGCCATTGCCGGAGTCATTAGCTAATCCCTCTTCTCTCTCTCGATCGATCTCTCAGTCTCACCCATCCCTCCCTCCCTGGCTTTTTTACCCCTCACGGGCCGCACGCTGCCTCGCTCCCTCCGACCGACCGCCACACCACCACCCCCCACCCCTCTTCTCTCTCTCTCTCTCTCTCTCTCTCCACATCCCCATCGTCTCTCACCGCGTTGCTGCTGCTGCTGCCGCCTCGGCCACCGCGCGCCCGCCCGCGCGTCGCACGCAGCTTCTTCCTCTTCTTCTTCTTCCCCACCCTCTCCACCCGATGCGGCGGTCGGCGCCGCGCTGCTGCTGCTGATGCGGGCGGTGGTGAAGAGGCGACGAGGGGGAGAGCGCGGGCGCTGCTGCGGCTATTGGAGATCCGGGGCTTCGTGGTAAGCAAGCTCTGCTCCCCACCCCCGCCCGCTCCCTACTGATTCCCGCCTGATCCCGCCGGGATTCCGCTAGATTGCTCTGCCCCCCGCGCGCGCCAGCGGCGAGCTCGGCTTTGCTGTGCTGTGCTGCGGCCGCCGCCGCCGCTATTGGCTGCGCGACGCGTGGGGGAGAAATGGGCTTAGGCTTTTAAGCGTGCTGTTTAGGCTTTTGACTGCTCTGTGGCTGTGCTTATGGTAGAAGCCGCCGTTAAAAGGTGGCTCGATTTTTTGTTTTTTCTCCCTTTCTTTTTGTGTCAGGGATCGTGCGGGGCTAGGCTGGGCTCGAGCAAGGTCACGAGTGAGTTAGTACGGGGATGGTGATCTTGTCATGATACAATGCGGTGTGGCTGTTTCTTTTTTTTTTTTGGTGAGAGTTTGGTAGAGAGATGACAAATCGTGGCTTAGTTTTCAAATTCTTTGTGATTTTGTTTCCCAATGCGGCCCCCAAGTAGCTCACTATGTTTGCAAAGCACATGGAATACCATTTTATTGAACCATTTTGTTTTTTTGTTCGTGGGGCATTAGGTTGGAAGTTTAATGCTGGATATTTATGCACATTTTGTTGCTCTGATCAAAGGTTTTAGTTGGCTCTGTTGTAAGCTTAAGAGGGAATTAGTGATTTAGTGTGGCTCATGTACCTTGAGTAGAAATGGTCGAATGCCATGGATCATTGTAGTATATATATACATCTACGCCACTGTGCTATACGCTTGTATTTTTGTACAAATTAACTTCTAATTCTTTAGGAATGTGAATTTGTCCAATTCGAGGGTTTCTTCTTGTTTATTATAACCGTGCATTTGTAAGTGACCAACGTGTCTTCGTGATGTACCAGTCCAACTTTCAAATACTTCCAAAAAGTTTAATTGGTGAATACATGTGGGTTCCTCATAGTTTTTACCTATGTCAAGTATCATGCTCAGCACTTGTTCATGGTTTATTTCTACCCCAGTTTTACGTTATAGTTTATATAGAAATGTCACACTGTCACTTTCTGGAACATTCAATCAGTATTCATGATATATACAACATACTTTACAATACTTTCTGGAAGTAGAATTTGCTTGAACACGTTAGATCCTTCTAGTTTCCTCCTACGTCCAATGAAGTGAGGTACTTTACTTGTGTTTATGATATACTTTTCTATCGACTTGCAAAAACTTTCTAAAAGTTGAGTTTCTTAATAACCTTAATGTCTTTTGATGCGCTGTACGCGTGCCATATGCTATGCTTTTACACCAACTTCCAAGTTTTCCCTAAAAGCTGTTCTTCTATTTAAGCGATTAGTGGGGTCGTGTGACCCCACGGGACCCAAAGTGGATCCATTTCGACGGGGATGGAATCTGGGAGTGAGTTCTATGCGGGCGAAGGTCTCCAGATCGACCCCAAGTGGCTCATCGACCCAAAGCTTCTCTTTGTTGGGCCACGGATTGGCGAAGGTGCACATGCAAAGGTCTACGAGGGGAAGTAAGTCTCATATTTTTGCACTGTCATCTATAATTTGATGATCTGTGTGAAAGTTTTGCTTCTAAATTAATTTTTGATTGATGCTGGGATTGGCAGGTACAAGAACCAAAATGTTGCCATCAAGATTGTGCACAAGGGGGACACCCCTGAGGAGATGGTCAAGAGGGAGGGGAGGTTCTTGAGAGAGGTGACTATGCTGTCAAGGGTGCAGCACAAGAACCTTGTCAAGGTCTTGATCTTTTTGTTGACTCTTATCATTTCTTTTCTTGGAGTGGCAGTTGTGGATGCTTTTGAATGTTGAAAATGTACTCGCTTGTTGTTCAGTTTATCGGGGCTTGCCTTGAGCCTGTCATGGTGGTGGTAACTGAGCTACTAGTGGGGGGCTCTTTGCGCAAGTACTTGGTTGGCCTTCGGCCTAGGAGCCTGGAGCCTCGTGTAGCTGTTGGATTTGCGTTGGATATTGCTCGAGCCATGGAATGTTTGCATGCGCACGCGATCATTCATCGTGATCTTAAACCTGGTAAGATTGCTATTTGGAAACCTGGTTGCTTCATGGGCATTTACATGGTGGATTTCTGCAATCCGGAATAATAACTATTCATTAGTTCATATACACCATGAGGTCAGACAGTTGCAGGACTTCTTTTTGTGTGTGTGTCCTTGGGTGTTGGGGGCATGGTCCATTCCTGTGCATAATCAATTTCTTCAGTGGGTACTCATATGTCATCTTGTATCAACTTCTAATAATAATTTGAATTTCACACAGCTGTTTGCCAAAAAACTAATGTTTTTTTTATTTTAATATTACATTAAACATTCTTTGTGGATTTACCCCACCAGCCAAAGTCACTTGAAGATTCAAGACAAATAAAATGTTCTCATTAGTAACATAGGATGAGAATTGAGAATATAATCTACTCTGGCTGTCTGACCTATTATGTAAAGTTAAGCTTCATATTGCACAAGCAATGTGCATTTTTCAAGGGCAGGAATGAGCTCTTCTTTTTACATTCAATCTTATTAAGTTATGGTGAATTGGTGATGTTTGGAAGTTAAGTCAAAAGGTAGCAGTGTCAATGGCTTGTTCCTCTTTTCCTGTGTCCTGTTGTGTCTGCATGTGATGCTATTATGGGCTAGTCTATTTATGGGAACTAAGCCTAAATACCACAAATAGCACTAATTGTGGGTGTAATGGAAGACGAGTGCAGGGGAGCAGGCAATCTATATTGTTTGTGTATGTTTGTCCAATGAGGTAATAACCTCAATCAGCAAATATAGTGGGGGAAGGAACTGATTCAATCTGTCATACCATTTTTCTCTTCATTCTTTATTATTGCATGGACTGGTCTGCAATGATGGAGATCTGTCTAGATATTCATGGCGTTGATTGGGAAATTTACTAATTATAGAAAAATGTTTCAAGATAATAATGATTATACAGCTTTCTGAGGATTTCTTGGTTGACCTTCGATGGAAGAAACCAAATTTAAGTCCATCTTGTACTATGTTTTCAATGAATAATAATGTGGACGAATTAGTAATGTGGAAGATTCCAAGTACGACCGGCATATGATCCATTAGAGGGGCCCCTGGGGGGCGGGCATCTTAAAAAGGTAGCTTCAGTTCTGACCTTCTGATAGCCACCTTCCAAGGGCGGTTCCTTTTGGAAAGAGGTGGTTCTCCCAAATGGTTTATTATTGTTTTTCGGTTTAAGATATAATAGAATCTCTAAGCATGCTAAGTTTATACTGTATAGTGTATCAAGTAGCAAAACATTCAGGACGGGTGTACCTAGTGCAAAAGTGAACCAGCAACTAGAAAAGGACTGCTATTATTTCCTCTTTCGATAAAATGCCAGGAAATATTAATGAGCTGAACATCGGATGCCAGTGGAGTACTACTGATTCTAGTTCACGAATCAATGCATAGCTCTGTTATTCAAAAAACAGTACTATATTTCTCTACTGTAAATTTACCTAATACTATTTGGTGTTTTTTTTCAGTATTTTCTTTTCAGAGCTATTTTTTTGAAAAAAAATCAAGCCAGAAATATTTGTACAAATAAGGTTTATCATGAGCCATTGTTTTGTCCTTCTGTACGTACAGAGAACTTGCTGTTGACCGCAGACCAGAGAACAGTCAAGCTTGTTGACCTTGGTTTAGCAAGAGAAGAGACATTAACAGAGATGATGACTGCAGAGACAGGAACATACCGTTGGATGGCTCCAGAGGTTTCTGTTACTGCAGTTCATATTTGTCAATATAATTCTTTTTTGTCAATATTTGCTAATCCTGAAATATATCCACAGTTGTACAGCACAGTGACATTGAGGCATGGAGAAAAGAAGCATTACAATCATAAAGTAGACGTTTATAGCTTTGCAATTGTGTTATGGGAACTCCTTCACAATAGACTGCCCTTTGAGGGCATGTCTAACCTGCAAGCTGCTTATGCTGCTGCTTTCAAGGTATAATTACTGATACTTCAGTCTAATGTGTGGAAGAGTGGTTTGTCAATGCTATTTGCTTGAATACCATATTTTCTCAACATTTGCATCGTTAGGTTTAGATGTACATATGAAGCTGCCAGTGTGGCGTTTGTAAGGCTATTATTCAAGTTTGACTTCACCACTCAGTCTTTCCCCTGGGTGGGTTTTGCTGTAGGCTCTTGATTAATTTTCATAGAGCTCTGGTTTTTTTACCATATGTATTTTTTCCTGTCCATATTCTGGTATAGTATATCTGGTATTTGACATGATGCAAGCCTCATTTTCTGCAGAACATTAGACCTAGTGCAGATAATTTGCCTGAGGAGCTATCAGAAATCCTAACAACCTGCTGGAAGGAAGAACCCAATGAGAGACCGAACTTCACGCAGATCGTACAAATGCTTCTGCATTACCTTTCCACCCTTTCGCCACCAGAACCTCTGGCTCCGCCTCGGACGTTCAGTTCAGAGAATGCAATCTTGCCTCCTGAATCTCCTGGGACAAGCTCCCTAATGGCTTCTCGAGGCGACCTCGGCGACACACCGAAGGGCAAGATGGAAGACAAGCCAAGGGGGTTCTTTTTCTGCTTCAGCCAGTGCTATTAGCACAGAACAAAGGAAACTCCCCTGGAGGATGCAAATATGAAGAGAACATTACCTCCTGATGCACAGCGGCTCGGATCACGGCCCGGCGGCGAGTCCCGGTGCCCATAGCCCATACCCAAAGAATGGCAGAAGTTCTTGTAGAACTGTTGTTTCTGCTAGTCAGTCCACCCCTCTCTTCTTCTGACATGTTTAACATACCGGCAGGATAAATCGAGTAAGCTTTTGACTCCTGCTATCAGTGATGAAAATAGTTCTGTCGTATATTTTCGGTGGACAAGTTATTCAATGTCTAAACTGCGCCCGCTCATCGTATAGTAATAATCCGCATTCATCAGTTTTCTCCTGTGCTGGAAATCAAGGGGGTGCTATACTTCTATAGGCTCTGTTCCTTCTCTGTATCTTTCCCTTGTTCTCTTGCTTGCAATGTTGATAGTTTGGTGCTGAGTCTGTATCGGGGGCAAAGTTCAGGCCGAGGATGCTCGGCAGGAATAACAGTCCATGGTCATCAGAACCATAATCCCCTCTAATATAACTGCACAAGTAAGTTTTAGACTTACTCCACATGCATAGAACAGTTCAAGACTAACTTTTGATACCCTTCATTTTTACTGCATTCAAAAGTAGTCATTTATTTATTTACGGGAGGGGTAAAAGAAAGATGAAAAAGAATATGTCCGGAAGTTGTACAACGATTTGTATTTATTAGGAAACAATCGAGAAGTTCAAAACAATTCACGCTTATAACAAGAGCGGTAAATAACGAATTGAATGTTTAAGAATACCAGATGAAACCCCACTCCCGCGGGGGTTTTATATGTTATTAGTAAAAATAACACGTAAAATTGACACACTTTGTATAATTTTTATCTCTGATCAACTATTGAGAAAAAGGCTATATGCTATATATAAACCATTTGATGTGGTTTATAACAATTTAAATACATATGAATTGATCGTATAAAAGAAAAACTAAGATGATGTGAGTCAATGAGAGAAGGAAAAGAAATAACATAATAGTATAAATCAATCATTTAAAAACAAAACTAAGGTGATATAACTTTATAAGAGAAGAAAAAAGAGTGATATAATTTGGACGTAGATCAACCGTCCAATAGTTAGAAATAGTTAAGATAATGTGGCTTAATTAGAGAAAAGAGAAATAACATTATTATACTTATTGAAATAAACTTTATAGATATATAGGATAAGCGTGTTTTCATCTACTTTCTTACCTTAATCAATTATACCATCCCTTATTTAACTTAATCTCTTTAGAGAAAGGAAAGTAAATTTCATTTGATCAAGCTACTCCCTCCTTTCAAAAGTCTAAGTCCTATTTCTTTTTCACCAAGATCAAGATGTAGTTAACTCGTTCATCATGTGACAAAACTAATAAACATGCAACCAATAACTACTAAAATGACTTATTGGGTTTCGATCAAAAATTTAATATAGCACATAATGACTACAAATAGGACTTAGACTTTTGAAAAAAATCAAAGAATGAAATAGTACTTAGACTTTTGGAATGAGAGAGTATTACAAAACTAGTATATACTTAAATATATGTATCATAAAACATATTTAATATCATTTTTTTATGAAACTACATATTCAAGGTATGGTATAAAATACTACAGATTTCATAAAACTACAACTTTCATAATCTCAATAGTGCTATAGATATAAACTTTAAAATATGTAGTTTTTTTATAATTTCATCGCTTAATCTGTAGTTTTGTGATACAATATCTTTTAAATTTGTAGTTTTACGATATATATGATGTTAAATATATAGTTTCTATCTATAGTTTAGTGATAATTTAATTAAAGTAATTATGGTTTTATGATATTTACTTACAGAAATGAACTTCATATGTTCATGGAGTTGACGTGCAGCAGTTGACGTGCGTGAAGAACCGGCAGCGGCGAGCCGGCGAACGAATGAAAGCGGGGACAGGATGGACGTGGAGCCGTCAACTCCGCACAGCAGCGAGCTGCAGCCTGCACTGTAGTACTCACTCCGTACTAAAAAAATTAATTTCTAGCTATGAAACATATGCTTGTCCATATTCATAAGAATTGGTTCTTTTTTAGACGAAGGGAGTATTACGCTAACTCGTCAAGATTCTCGGGCTCCCTTGTTGAAATGTTGAGTTGTTGGAATGTTGAGCCTCTGTTGAAACGTTGAGTTGTTGCCTTGTTGGTAGGTGCCTCCCTTTGGTCACCAACAAAACAAAATTCATGCTCGCTCGTGCGCGTTGCGTGCTGCTGCTAGCCTCGCTGCTGGCCTGCCGCTGGTTGCTCCATCGGACTGATTGATTATTGGATGGGATTGCCTCTCATGTTTCTCACTTGGGCATTGCCGTTCATCCTTTTGTCACAACGAGTGTTGCTGTCGTTGCTGCTATAGCCCGTCATGTCATACTAATGTTTTTTTACAGGAAAGCAGGCAGGGGAATAGAACTGTGTCTGATGTCTTGGCCCCATTGCTATAGTAGGACATGTACTGTGGAGTACTGGCAAATCGTCCACTGCTACTATTGGGGTCTTTGGGAGCGGCGAATTCTCCACTGCATGTACAGCTAGCAGAGTCATCGAGAACAATTTTATCGGTATTACTGGTAGTAAAAACAACCGGAGCCATTAGAATTCTATTGCCAGTAGAAACAATTGTATTCAGTATACTCCTACATAATACTTCCAGTAGTTACAATGGTAACATATAATTAGATATGGTACATCGATTGAGGAAAAAAAATGGAGGTTTCGGATTTATTCAACTATTGTAAAATTTGTCACTCGATGCTTAAGAGCAAATTTAACTGTTTTTGGCTGCCATAATAGAGATTTAAGAGCGGCTCGCTGCCAGGCCTAGCCAATCATGCCAAGCAGTGTGCACTATAAGAGTCCTTGGATAAAAAATATATATAGGAATTTTATATAATTTAAATTCTATAGAAAACTCCTATTTAATCATTTAATAAAAAAGATTGGATATTTTCAAATCCTATAAAATTCTTGTGAAATGGCTCACTTAATATAGATTTTAGATGAAACTTAGTAAGAGCTTCAACTTCTTAAAAAAATTATTGAAGTCTATCTTTTTCATCGAATTCATACGGTCTAATCAAATACTCCGTAGATATTTACGTGTTTTGCAATTCTATATTTTAGACTTACTTGATTCAAAGGAAATTTATAGAAATTTTAGAGGATTTTATTCCTATAGGAATTTTTCCTACAAAGCCCTTTGAATCAAAGGAATGAACCCTATGGAATCCTATGAAATTCCTATGAAATGCCTCTTCCTATATAAGTTTTGGAGGAATTTTAATAAGAGGTAGAACCTCATAGAAAAAATCCTTTGAGTCTTTATCTCTCCTCAAATTCCTGTGTTTTTCCTGTGATCCAATCAAACAGTCATTCATACGTTTTTCTGTATTTTGCAATCATCTGTTTTACACTTACATTCCTGTCAAAATCATATGTTTTTCCTATTCCTCCGTTTTTTCATTCCTGTGATTCAAAGGGGCCCTAAGGGCTCATTTGAATCGCAGGATTGAGAAAACGTAGGAATAGGAAAAACATATGATTTTGATATGAATTGTGGGGATACCCGGTTTGAGTATGGTATCCCGAAACCACCCGCGACCGTCCAGGATTTCGATCGCACACAGATTGATATACAGAACAGCTTTCGATACATATACCCAAGTTTTTACAGAAATTATTACATAAAAGATAACTAAGACAGGTTTTAGGGGCCGACAGGCCAAACACACTCCCTACAAACAAAAGACTCAAACACAAAATAGGATAAAAACACCACAGGCAACGCCTGAGAGCAGATCAACCTAGAACAAAAACTCGACAGCACCATAGAATTCTTCCCCTTCCTGCGCCTCCTCAGGGAAGAACTGATCGTCTGAACCACATTTTATGCAAGAGGTGAGTAACGAGGTACCCAACAAGCCACATCCATAATAATACAAATAGAATATATGCAAGGCGTACAAAGAATATAGTTCATCAAGGAGGTTCCATAACAAGCCTATTATAAATAGTTTTTCCCTACTTTATCAAACATTTTATTCGCAAACAATTATAAATCATCATTTTAAAATGGTAGCAATATTAATCACCATTCATCCTCATCTTCGTCATATTCCATATTTTAATTTAAAATCTACTCATACCATGATAAATAGGAATCACCCAATGACATAGCTTCTTAACCGGAAGCACGGCACATTCGAATGATTTAAGACTCATCTCTGTAGAGACTGCCCAGCTTTACCCACCTGATGTCAACAGCTAGCTAGGCTGAGGACAACATAGCCGTTTGAGAATCCCACTTACTACTAGTTACTGCCCAGTGGGATATTGATCCGTCCTAGCAGTCGGGCACTTGCTAGGCCTAAGCAAGGCTAGACGGTCGCTGCTTTCACGGGTTCCACCGTTGTGGATCATGTCAACCTGGCCAAAGCCCCTTCCACATGTCCACCCCAAACCTGCTCATAGAGCCACCCTACAGTCTTTCATATAGTGGGACAATGTACTAGGCTAAGTCTGATTACTCAGTCCTATGGATAGGCGCAAATTACATCATTTTCCATGGCATAAGGGGGTAGTCCTTATATCCGGGAAAGCCACCAAAACTAGCACAGGCCCGTGCATACTTCAAGTGTAAATATACACTTTCCACAAAATAATTATAACAATATGCACGGCCTCACACACCACAACATCCATCTTCACCCGGAATTAATCTTCCATATCACTCCAGGCGAGTGACTCATATCAAATAACACATTTTATATCACCCGACACGCCACCACGTGACGACGGGTAAACCATGTATATGAGTATAGATATTTGGTAGTCTTATCCACTAGAATATTATTGTGAAGTATATAAATCTACACCTAGGTTATCAAAGGACGTGATATAGCAATTCATGGATTTGGCCAATAATAACAATGTAATAATGGGTAATAACTAAACTAACAAGTTTATTCAAAAATAATTCATATGCAAAATAATTTTATAAATACTCAATGCAGAAAATAACTAAGTGGTTCTCTACAAGGTTTCAATATGATCAAAGATTGGAACTATGGCTTGCCTCGTGAAATGTGGCCTTCGGGAGCTTCAACGTAGCCTTCTAGGTCCACTTCAGTTCCTGCGAGTCCGGTGGGATCTTCAACGCGATCTAGCGTATGCACACGAAGAAACGACCAAATAAGCCTATAACAAAAATACTACAAATAAACGATAAAATAAATATTGTGAATCAGAGCCCGAACAAAAGAAAATGTTAAATCGAGAGTTAATTTGAGTTGGATGAAAAAAAGATTTATCCTAGGGTTATGATTCATGGCATGTGTAGTAGTGGTTGCACTTTGGGATTATTGTTGTTACAGATACTAGAATTGATTTGGTTTGAATCTGGGGGTGAACTGATGGAAGAATTGATATGAATCGGTTTTCTTTTGGTTGACAACTACCTAGGTTGGCTCAGGTGGTGTGGTCAGGCTGGACCATGGTGGAACAGTATTGAATCTAGTACTGTTCTTCTTCCTCTGTGAACCACGAACACAGAGAGAGAGAGAGATAAAAAGAGAAAAGTTGGATGACGGTTATTGTGGCGGAACAGTAAGAACGTCTTGAGGTAATTTCGTCCCCAGGTGCTACGAACTCGAAGCTGTTGCTGGTTCTCTGAGAGGATGTTCATGCTGGCCGGAACGCGAACTATAGGATTCCAGCCGCTAGAGGAGAGAGAAGATTGGGTGGCGAGCTCCGGTGGCGAACGTGGCCTGGTGAGCGCGTCAAAACGCGTTCCCGGATGAGAAGGTTCCATTTTTGTGGTTAGTTGATAGAGATGAAGCGCCGGAAAAACTGAGCACGGTGGTAGCCATGGTGGCGGACAGGAGCACGATAGGAACCCGATAGAAGCAAGGAAAGAAGGTTGGGGAAAATTCTCACCAGTGAGAGGTGGTCCTGCTGGTGCTATGGTGCGGCGGAAAAAGGTCGACGACGGCGAAACGGCTGCACAGCCGGCCTTGGCTCTGGCAGAAGAAATTTGGGGATGAAAACGAGATTAGCACTTGATGTCTACAGAGGAATAGCGGACTTCGGCTCGTTCACTTTGAAGGAGAGAAGGTCTGGAGGAGGAGGGGAAACAAGGGAGGGATGGCAACGAGCAACTGCGTGGCTGTTTTGGAGGCGGCTCGAGCGGGCGTGTGCCGAGCTCGGGGCGGCACATGAGCAGCGCAGGCAGGAGCGAGGCCGCACGCGACTAGCGCGTGCGAACACGAGCAGGGCGCAGGACGGCGCGTGCGGCGGCTGCCTCGGCTGGGCCAACAGCAGTCGTGGGCCAGCACGGCCCAAACAGAGGGAAATGGGCAAAGGAAATCCAGAATATGGGCTGGATTGCTAGGAACTCGGCCCGAGAAGAAACACAGTGATCTATTTGAATTTTTGGAGAGATTTTTAATAGAATTTTGGTAGGATATTTTTGAATAGGAATCGATGAGATTGGGGGTTTTAGAATATTTGCATGATTACTCCGGTTTAACTTAAAATAAACACGAGCTCTTCTGATGATTTTGGGAATTTTCTTTGGGATATCTCGGATTTGGTTTGGAGAGGGAAACTAAATAAAGTTAAGCGGAAGGTGGAAACTTAGAGGAAACAAAAGGAATATAAGGATTGGGAGGCTCCAATTCGAAAGAACGAAGAACATCGACTTTAGATATTTTCGCAAAAATTTTACCCTGAAAAATTTAGTATGTTACATGAATGTAAGTATAAAACAGAGGGTTGTAAAACATAGGAAAAACACATGAATAACTGTTTGATTGGACCGCAAAAAAACACAGAAATTAGAGGAGAGATAAAGATTCAAAGGAAAGTTTCCGTGAGGTAGAATCTCATGTTAGTTTCCTCCAAAATTTGCATGGCATTAGCCATTCCATAAGATTCATTTCTTTGATTCGAAGGGAGATATTTAAAAAAATTACTATAGTAATGAAAGACTCTAAAATTCTGATGAATTTTCTTTGAATCAATAGGGATAAGGGTGTGTTCGTTGTACCTGGTTCCCAACCAGAAACCTCCACACAGAAAATGGAATGATCCATTAGCGCGTGATTAATTAAGTATTAGCTATTTTTTTTCAAAAATGGATTAATTTGATTTTTTTAAGCAACTTTCGTATAGAAACATTTATAAAAACACACCATTTAGCAGTTTTAGAAACGTGCGCACGGAAAACGAGGGAGAGGGGTTGGGAAAAGGGGCATCCGAACACACCCTAAGCATTGGAGCCACAATGAGCATAACTATGGGTGTGTTTAGTTTCTGAAAAAAGTTGGAAGTTTGAAGAAAGTTGAAAGTTTGAAAAAAAGTTAGAAATTTATGTGTGATGGAAAGTTTTTGATGTGATATGATGTGATGAAAAGTTGGGAATAGGGGAAACTAAACCCGGACTAGGCTGTGTTTAGTTCCTTCCAAAGTTGGAAGTTTAGGTTAAAATTAATACGATGTGACTAAAAAATTGTATATGTATGACATGTTAATATGATGAAAAAAGTTAGAAGTTTGGATCTAAACACAGCCCTATATACAGTATGTTAGGGAGCACTGTTCGACTTGCCCAATCTACGGGCCATACCGGAACGATCTGACCAAAGCGATCGATAGGACGTCGTCCCGTACTTGTACGAACGAGACGACGCAAGCAGCGCAGCGCAGCGCCGCCCCGCGCCCCGGCGCGGTCGAACGATCCAGGAGACAAAAAGCCGGCTCCCGTTAAATTGCCTTCCCCCCCTGGGTGCCCCGCGGAGCTAGCAGAGATCCGATCCCCTCTCCCCCACCACCATCCATCGCCGCGCGTCAAATCGAATCCAGCGCACGTAGCATTCGCGCGCGGAGAACCGCGCCCACGCAGTACGGTACACGGCCGCGTGGGCGTCTCTCTCTCCCGTCCGTCCGTCTCCGATCCCGGACCCGGAGTGGGCGGACCAGACCGTGCCTCGCGCCGGACCCGGTGCATGCGCGCGCGGAGATATGCAGGGTCGGCGGGGATAGGCGGGCACGCACGCACGTTCCGTTATGATTTCTCGTACTTCACCGATCTCCCGGTAGGCTCCCCTCAATGTCCTGTATCGGATTACACTAACCAGAAAAAAAATAAAAAAATCTTAGATTTCATTTGCGTCACCGGTATTTTAGAGCTCTTTTAAAACACATGATAGAGAAAACACAGCAATAGATAAAACACAAAAATTGAAATAGAAAACATAGAAAATATGAAGAGGGTCCCTTTGATAGCACCATAGGAAACAAAAAAAGGAAAGAAAAATTTCCAAGAGATTAGACCTCTTAGGGCCTGTTTAGATCCCACCCAAATTTTTTCACCCTGTCACATCAAACATTTGAACATATATATGAAGTATTAAAGATAGGCTAAAAAAATAACTAATTTTACAGATTGCGACTAATTTGCGAGACGAATCTTTTAAGCCTAATTGCTCCATGATTTGACAATGTGGTGCTACATTAAATATTTGCTAATGACGGATTAATTAAGCTTAATAAATTCGTCTCGCGGTTTACCGACGGATTCTGTAATTAGTTTTTCTATTAGTACCCAAACACCCCATGCGACACCCTATATAATACCCGATGTGACACGTCAAAACTTTACACCCCTGGCTCTAGACACCCCCTTACTTATTTTCCTATGAAATTGAGCCATAGAAATATAATTCTATAGAAAAATTCTTAAGAGTCCCATTGGTTGCCCTAATAAGCCAAAGCCAAAGTTAAAATTTAAATTTTGAGATTTGCTCTGGTCCAACAATACCAGTACCTCACGGTACCAAATCATTTCTAATCGTTGGATCTAGCTGGGCAGGATGGGCATTGTTAGATATAACGATCGGAAACGATTTGGTACCATAAGATACCGATACCTCGAGGTACATTTTATTGGACTGGAGAAAATCTCTTGAATTTTCAAACTTAATTTGAAAGGCAATTTTAAGATATTTTCAATATAGTTTCTTTTAGCATTAGTTTTTAAGTCGCTAAGAACATGCATAAAAATTTTTTACAAAAAGATGTTTTTTTATTTTCTAATAAGTCATTTTGACTTAATTAGTAGGAAATATGAGCAACCGATAAGAACCTTATACTTTCCTATGAATCAAAGTATTTCATAGGAAAATTTCCTTAGGAAATTAAATCATTCAGAATTTCTATGGTAATCCTTTCAAAGGGTTGTTACTAGTTGTGTGCTCGTGGTGTGTTCTATACGTATACCTTAGGCTATAGAAACTCGTTATTGCTTATCTCCTCCACACGGTGAATAAAAGTAGCCACGCACGGTTAGTGCGCGGATCCCCCGCACAGTTTACTAAGGCCCTGTTTTTTTAGGTCTAAAAAAGAAGTCCCTCCACTTTAAGTCCCTTTAAATCTGTAGAGTCCCAAACAGGAGGGACTAAAGTGCTTTAGTATAAGTCCCTAAGGGAGTAGCTTATTGGGACTAAAGTAGCTCTTTTCCACCTGCTGCCCTCATGCATGGGTATGGTGCATTTCTCTTTGTATGATTTTAGGGGTAACATGGTCATTGTGCAGCGTATTTAATGAACTTTAGTCCCTTTTAGTCTCTATAACAAAACAGCCATGGACTAAAGTGATTAGTTCTAGGACTGAAATAAGTCCCCAGGACTTATGGATCCATACACCACCTAATGTACCGTCGCAATGACATGGGTGTGACTGGTACTATATATACAGACAGTATAAAAGTGGGCGTCATCATGCATGTCCGGATGGGGTGAAAAGGCAGTGGCGGTTAGTCAGCATATTTGTTAGAGTTGCAAGTTGCAAACGAAATTGTTGTACCAAAAGTGTATTACATGTGCATATCGCATATAAGTTGAGCACACCGTTAGCTATTTAACAATAACCTGAATTATCAATTTATCATATAACATTAGTCCCATGTTTTAGCTGTTGATCAAGATCCAGCCGTCCATTGGCGCGCGAGTGTTAAAACTATCCTAGCTAGATAATGGACGACTGGTGCCCTTAATGACTGAGCTTAGAGAGAAATGTGCCGCGCAGTTCATTCAGAGAAGCTAAATACGAGGCATCTGATTCGCATCCAACGGTGCAGATCGATCAAATAAAATTGTGTAAAATTCACAAAACTATAGGCATTTTGCATAATTTATCACAAAACTATAGATTTAAGATCTTGTTTCACAAAACTACATATTTAGTATGTCCATTTATCACAAAACTACAGATATTTTATACAATTTATCACAAAACTACAGATTTAAAAACTTGTTTCACAAAACTACAGATTTAGTGTATTCGTTTATCACAGAACTACAGATTTTAGTGTCTTCATTTATCACAAAACTACAAATTTAGTGTCTCCATTATCATAAAACTACAGATTTAACAATGCTAAACCTGTAGTTTTGTGGTAATGAAGACATTAAACCTGTGGTTTTATGATAAATGAAGATATTAAATCTGTAGTTTTATAAAATAAGTTTTTAAATCTGTAGTTTGATAAATTGTGCAAAGTATGTATAGTTTTATGAAATTTCAATAAAATTTTAAGAAAGCCTCAAGAACACCTCACATGCATGTATACATTAATTTGTACTCGGTCGGGGTAAGTAGGTAGGACAAGAGGATGCCTCCAAACATGCACCCACGCCCACACACCCCGTCGATCGGCACGAACCGTACGTACGTTTACGTACTCCCAAGCGGCCGGGGAAGGATCAGATCGTGTCGCGCCGGATCGAGACGTGCCGCCTGCATCGATCTGCATGGTCATAGCCCTGTATCCGTCAGCTAAGCTTAAGCTAGGCGCGTGCATGCCCAACTCCGGCCAGCGACCATCAGACGCATGCACGGATACACGCATGCATGCGCTTTCTTTCTTTTGCTCTCGCTTCGCTTGCATGGCTGCACGCGCGGCAGGCCATGCAAGCATCCACGGATGCAAACACGGCGCCACGGACGTACGTCGAAATCATGGTACAGTACACAGTACGCTGGCCGGCCACCACGCCAGCCCAGCCGCATGTAGCATGCAGCGGGTAGCGGATCAGCGGGCGAGAGCGGTTGCGTTGCATATATTCGCATGCATGCATTGCATGACAGCATGCGTAT